GAAAAAGGACATCCTCAGTTCTTGAAATAAAGGAAGTCAGAAATAAAGTGACCTGAGGTAAAGTGGCTGGGTAAAGGGTGTAAAGAAAATGATGAATTCAAGAGATATTTCAGGCAGTATTGATACCTAAAAGAGATGAATTCATGGTAGTATCATAAATTTTTTCTTATTTCCTGGAAGTCTGCATTCATAAAGTATAGGAACAAAGAAGGCAGAACTGGTTATATTAACCTTATGCCAGGAATTTACAGCTTCCTGAATGTGACACAAAGACCAAGGCATGAAGAAGCTGAGGATATGTCAAGACTGCCTAAAGTCTTAGTGAGGCCGTGGGATACAGACTGAAGACATAAATGAAGCCCTTTTTTTTTTTTTTTCTTCCCTGTAAGAGCTCTTCTAACCATTCCATGCCACCCCTTCACCTTTACCCTTAACTTTATCCAGAATTAGTTTTCCTTGCTCAAAAATTGAGTCAAATACTTGTACATTTTTAAACTTCCAAGTTTATCATGTTTGTAAATATTTAGAAGACAGCTTGCTGTTAGCTATTGATTGAACTCTTTTATCTTGTTTACACTTTTAATTAATATTCATTATTGGAGAATTAAAATAAAAATATATAAAATAGTATATTGTTTCCTTCTTAATATATGTATAATATCCTTTCTTAATGTTTATAGTATCCTATATGTGTATACTATCCTTAATATCTTAATATTATATATAGTATCCTTTCCTAAGTTCTAGTTACTTAATGCTTTAAGGAAAGAAATACATGTTTGGGGTGAGAATTCTTACTACTTGCAAATTTGCTCTTATTCCTTGCAAATTTACTACATTTGTTCATTTTAGAGAGTACAGATAGCCACCTTCCCCAACTACTAAAAGGCAAAACTCTCCAATAAAAATACCACTATAAATAAATGCTTTAAAAATTTCCTTCCTAGTTTGTGTGGGAAAGAGTGATTGGGAATAGTGGACTTTTTCTCTTTGTTTGATATGTCTTTAATTTTTAAATTTTTTTCCATGTCTTGTTTCTCAGTATTTCAATTTATTGCTTAAAATGCCATATGATTAAAATAAATTCTTCTTTTTTAATGGATACACATTGTGGTTTTAAAAATACTGCTTTGAGCCAGGTGCAGTGGAGCATACCTGTAATCCCAGTGGCTCAGGAGGCTGAGGCAGGAGGATTGAGAGTTAAAAACCAGCCTCAGCAACTGTGAGGTGCTAAGCAACTCAGTGAGACCCTGTCTCTAAATAAAATACAAAATAGGGCTGGGGATGTGGCTCAATGGTTGAGCACCCTTGAGTTCAATCCTTGACATGCCCCCCCACCCAAATAAATAAATAAAGCAAAATGACTGCTTTGAACATGGTTCTAGCTAAATCATTTTACTTATTCTCAGTTATTGCTGAATTAAAGTATATAAATGTTTAAAAGAAATCCATCAATATTTAAATTACGCAGACCATTCAAATATAATAAATAAGTATACACAAGGTATACTGACTGATGCCTTGTGAGAAGTGAAAGTCTCCTTCCCATTTTGTTTCTCTGGGTAGTATCTTTCATGATTTTCTTTTTGTTTTGATGGATAAAAGTGAAACCTGAAGTGTATAAAATAGTATTTTTACTATTATTAAGTTTTAGCTTATATATGTCTGTGTATGCACACAAACACACACATACACAGATATATATGAAGAGCTAAAAAATAATTTGCAGAATATTAACAGTTTATCTTACAGTTGTGGAATTACAGTTGGTTTTTTATTTCATATTATATATTGAATTCTCTAGAATGATTATGATAAAAATGAGTTTTAAAAGTTGGCTGTTGTTTAGTCATAACAAGAGTAATAGCATTCATGGTTTGAAGAATTATTATGTGGTCAAGTGCTGCACTCAGTGTTTTGTGTTCAGAAATTTATTTATTTAAGCATTAATTGATCCTATAAGATGGACAGTGTCTTGTTTTCATCTGTTGTTCAGGGAGAGTGTATACAAACAAGCAATTTATGTAAATTTTGAAATTATGGGAAAAAGAAATTTTTAGAATACTATTTTCTAAAAGAAGTTTTTAGAAAATGATTTAGAAAAAGGTTCCTAGTGGGAGATTTTCTGTAACTTTTTTAGTTTTTAATTTTAGGAATACAACATGTATAATTAGTTTTGTTTGGTTGGTTTTTTTTTGTTTTGTTTTGTTTTGGGGATTGAACCCAGAGGTGCTTCACCACTGAGCTATATCCCCAGCTTCTTTTTGTTTTTATTTTGAGACAAGTCTCACTCAGGTGCTAGAGTTTGTATCTCTGCTTTATCTTTCTATGAATTATTTAACCTCATAATTTGAGCTCTTTACTACTTTTGCAAACACAATTCATAATGTTAAAGGTCTTAAAACTGAACCTTTACTTTGTTCAGAAGATAATGTTATTTTTTAATTTTTTAGGTTTGTCAGAAGTGTTTTTTATTATTTTCAGTGTACCATTTTCTGGTCTCCACAGTTCTTGCTCATGGTTGTACTGTTGGAGACCAGTTTGTTTTCTTGGGGGACAACACCATAGACTCCAGTGAAAGCTGTATGAACAGAGAGGTACATTTTTGGATTTTAAAAGTAGCTTTCAGGATCAAGCATTTTGCCCCTAAATACTAGTTTTGTTGTTTGAAATAGTAAGAGATTTGCCAGAGTACTTAAAAAAGAAAATGAGCCCAGCAACAACTCAGGGAGAACCTGTTGCTAAATAAAATTCATAATAGGACTGGGAATGTGCACAGTGATTGAGTGCCCCGAGTTCAATCCCCAGTAAATCCCCCTCTCCCCCACCAAAAGAAGGTTTTTGTCCTGAAAAATGGAAACATTCTAGTTCATTTATTTGGTAAAAGAATTTCATTTCATTAAGTAGTATTTTCAGTTCCTCATTTATTTACACATTTGACCATTTAAATAAATGGTATTTGTTCACCAAAGATGCCATTAAGTTTTTCTTTCACAGTTATACTGTCCTTCAGGTTTTTTATTTTTTCCAGTATCAAATATTGAACCCGGGGATACTTTACCACTGAGCTGTAGTCTCAGTGCATCCCTCCAACCCCCACCACCCTGCCTTTTTTTCTATTTTGAGACAAGTTCTCACTAAGTTATTCAGGCATACTTTTGATCCTCTTTTCTCAACCTGCTGAGTCTCCTGGATTGCAGGCATATGCTACTACACCTGGCTTGTCTAAATAAGCTGTTTTGTACATTTGGGTTAACAAACCCCAGAATTTATAAACCAACCATAGGCCTGCACTTTGAACAGTAGACTTAAAAATCTCGTTCCCTCCCTTTTCCTTCCAATATTTTGGTGACCATAATTACCAAAATGTTTCTTATGTCATTACTAGTTACCTTGTTCATATGAACTTGTAGTAACTTTGTTAAAGAACCTTTCACATTCCATCAGTGGTTTTCTGTCAGTTATGATCCTAAGTCATAACATTTTCATTTAACTCCTTGAGAGAATAACACTTTATAAGTTTATACTCTTAAATTTATGTTATTAGAATATAAACTAATATTCTTAGAATCTTATCGATAGGTGAGGTTTATATTATTGAGAGAATGAGCAATGGGAGTGATTTGTTTTATTGTTTTTTTTTAAACCACAAAAATGAGACAGAATCCTGATTTTCTGATCCCAGTGGTATGATCTGCCTTTTAGGCTGCTTCTCAGAGTGATAGAAATCATCTGGATGAGTTTTGAAATTTTAAAAAATTTGTACAGATTTTTAACATAATGTATAATAAACAATGTAAACAATGAAACCTCAGCTTTTGAAAATGCCTAGGGAATTAATTTCATTGGTTATTTTCTAGTTAAAAAATAATAATTCATACCTTTGTGAAAGCTTTTTAAATTATCTTAACCATGTAGAAGTGGAAATAAAATTGATTTCATAGTTTCTCCTTAAGTGTAGTAGACTGAACATAATCACTTGACGTTAGCTTCATAATTTACATGATAATACAGTTCTGTTGTTTTGCTTTAATGTATATCACTAAAGCCCATTTTGTTCCTCTGATATTTATTGAGTACTTATCATAGGTCAGGCACTGTTCAAGTAATGACATCAATATAGTTATGTACTAAATAGTCTCAGATTGCAGTGTTTTTAATTCTTGACAGATTTTGTTTTCTCCTTACCACCATTTAGCATAATGTTAAGAACATGAATTCAGGAACCTGATCATTAAAATCTAGATCTTGGCTCTACTACTAATTAGACATGTAACTATAACTATAATACATTAAACACTTGAAAGAATAGTGATTTTTTTTTATATCATAGGATGATTACTTCATTTTTCTTATAAATGTATGTAAGCCTTCTTTGCCTCAAATTTTGCATTTGTAACTGAGGCCAATGATGTATCTCCTAACTCTTCATTATGAAGATTAAAAAAGGACACATAGGGCTGGTGTTGTAGCTCAGTGGTAGAGCACTTGCCTAGCATGTGTGAGGCCCTGGGTTCAATTCTCGGCACCACATAAAAATAAATATATAAAATAAAGGTATTTTGTCCAACCACAACTAAAAATATATATATTAAAAAAGGGACACATATAAAATGTTTAGAGCCATCCCTGGCGCATAGTGAAATCTTATCAAGCAGTAGTCATTACTACTACCATTATTTTTGGTAAGTAGTAGACATTACTGTGTTTCCACAGTGATTTGAGTCTGCTTGCACCATCTTCAATTTAAAATTTTCTTTAATCTAGTAACACAGAAACTAAACTTACTAAAACAAAGTGCAAAATAAAAGCAGATTGTCTATATAAAATCTGAAATTCATCTTCAAGAAAACAGAATGTGTGAATGCTGTGTATGCCTTGATATTATAGTTTGGCTGCTGAGAATATTGTTTTCTTTAATAGGCCATGTTTGTAAATGAATATTGAAAAAGAAAAATATGAATTAAAATTTATCTTAATAAATAGGACTTGTTTTTTAGGGAACGGGATCTTGAAGAAGCTCTGGAAGCAGGAGGCTGTGATCTTGAAACTTTGAGAAATATAATTCAGGGGAGACCACTGCCTGCTGAACTAAGGGCCAAAGTCTGGAAGGTAACTGGAAACTAAAATGTATAAAATGTAATTACTTTAAAAAATATATATATATATTTGCATTGCTGTTGATCAAACCCAGGACCTCATGGAAAATGTTCTAGCGCTGAGCTACGTCCCTAGCGCTTACAAATAATATTTTTAAAAAATTATTTTCAAGCCAGGCATGGTGGCACATTCCTATAATCCCAGGCTGTGGCAGGAGGATTACAAGTTTGAGGTTAGCTTTGGTAACCTTGTGAGACCCTGACTAAAGAAATAGAAGAAGAGAAAAGGTACTGGAAATGTAGATCGGTTGTAGGGTATCCCTGGATGCAATCCCCAGTACTACCACAACAATAGCAACAACAAAAATTATTTTCTTTTTCTGATTTTTAAAAATTAATTAATTAATTTTAATTAGGTATATATGACAGCAGAATGCATTTTAATTCATTGTACACAACAAAAAATATTTTCTTTTGAAAAAAATAAAGTCTCTGAAAAGGCTTTGTTTTATGAGCAGGCTGTAGTTAAAATGTGTTTCAATAATGTTTGCTTTTTTTTTTTTTTAAATAATAGTATTTAGGTTTTAGAAGGTATTTTTTTAACCACTAGAAATGGTGTATATGAAGACATTAAATGGGGAGATACAACTGATGAATAATATAGGAAATATGACAGCATAAATGGAATGATCCAAACTGTGTTTTTTAAAAAAGGGAATATGCCTCTGGTTGTTGAGTTATAGATTTTTCTTTGCTTTTCAACTGATAATTTCTGAATTATTTCAATTTCTGAATTAATTGTTTGTTATATGTTTGTGGAAATAGTCTCAATCAGCTTTTTTGCCACTGTTCCCAAAAGACCTGAAAAGAATAGTTCTAGAGGAGGAAAAGTTTGTCACTCACCTTTTTAGAGGTCTCAGTCCATAGACAGTCCATTCCATTGCTTTGTGCCTTTGGTAAGGCAGAACATCATGGTTGAGGGCTGTGGAGGAGGAAGGCAGCTGGGAACTTGGCACCAAGAAGCAAAAGAGAGAGAGAGAGAGAGAGAGAGAGAGAGAGATTCCCCTTACCACAGACAAAATGTATACCCCAAAGGCATGCTCACAGTGACTCACCTATTCCAGCCACACCCTGACTGCCTGCAGTTATCACTCAGTTAACCTCTATCAGGGAATTAATGCATGGATTATGTCAAGACTTATAAACCAGTCATTTCACCTCTAACTTTCTTGTGTTCTCTCATACATGAGCTTTGGGAGAACACCTAATATCTAAGCCATAACAATAAGAACTAAAGATAAAATATAAATCATCTTTTGGGCTGGGGCTATGGCTCAGCAGTAGTGCACTTGCCTGGCATGTGTGAGGCACTGGGTTCGATTCTCAGCACTGCATATAAATAAATAAAATAAAGGTCTATCAAAAACTAAAAACAAAAAACTAAAAAACAAATCATCTTTTACCTACTTCTTACAGGTAAAACCCATAATATCTAAGTTTATACCTTTGTCTTTTTTTCTCCTGTGAACATATATACTTAAACAGAAATGGAATTTTAACTTTACAAAGCATTTTTTTGAATGTTTATTTTTTAATTTTTAGTTGTCAATAGACCTTTATTTGTTTATATGCGGTGCTGAGAATCGAACCCAGTGTCTCACACATGCTAGGCAAGCGCTTTACCACTGAGCCACAACTTCAGCCCCCTGAATGTTTTATTATAGAAATTTAGACACATTCAAAAGTATGGAGACTTGTATAACGAACCCCTATGTACCCATAACCCAACTTTCACTGTTACAAATATTTGACCTGTCTTGTTTGATTAGTACCTCCATTCTTTCCTCCCCATCCCATCCACTGGATCGTTTTTTTCTCATGTTTTTTAATTGTTGCAGTATTACTATACATATTCATACATGCATGTGATATAACAATATAATTTCATCAATATTGTTCCCCATAATTTCCCTTTTCTTGACACACCACCCTCCCCATGATCCCTTTTTCTCTACTAATCTCCCTTTGATTTTCATGAAAGATCCCCCAACTTTTTTTTTCCTTTTTACTCTCTACCTTTCACATATGAGAGAAAACGGGACCCTTGACTTTCTAAGTTTTGTTTAACATAATGCTCTCAGATTCCATCCATTTTCCTGCAAATGACATAATTTCCTCTTTATGACTGAATACTTCATTATGTATATATATACCACATTTTTTGATCCATTCATTCATTGAATGAATGATCTAGGCAGGTTCCATGATTTGGCTATTGTGAATTGTACTGCTATAATCATGGGTATGCAGGTATTACTATAGTATGGTGATTTTAATTCTTTAGGACAAATATTGAGGAGTGGTATAACTGGGTCATATGGTGGTTCCATTCCTGGTGGGTTGTTTTTTTTTTGGTATTGGGGAGTGAACTCAGGGGCACGTTGCCACTGAGCCACATCCCCAGCCTATTTTCTATTTTATTTAGAGACAGGGTCTCATTGAGTTGCTTAGCTCCTCGCCTTTGCTGAGGTTGGCTTTGAACTTGGGATCTTCCTGCCTCAGCCTCCTGAGCCGCTGGGATTACAGGTGTGCACCACTGCTCCTGGCCATTCCTGGTGTTTTGAGGAACTTCCTACTGAATTATTTTAAAACAAATCCTTATTAGCAACTAAATGCTTTTAATATGAAAGTCTGAACCCTGGGGTGCTTAACCACTGAGCCACATCCCCAGCCCTTTTTTATATTTTATTTAGAGACAGAGTCTTGCTAAGGTGCTCAGGGCCTGACTAAGTTGCTGAGGCTGACTTTGAACTTGTGTTCCTCCTGCATCAGTCTTCCAAGCTGCTGGGATTATAGGTTTGTGCTGTTATGTCCTGCTGTTCTGTATAATTTTTATTGTGTATTGCACAGGTGAACTTTTTCTTCGCCAGTATTACATTCTGATTTTTACATTTTAAAAAAGTGACATAGATGATTGTTTAAAATTGTCATATATGTAAATATTTATTGTGTGTAACTCGTTCTATTTACTGACTGAACATGAAGTAGTAAAATCTAAAGCAGGAGGATTTAAAGTAATTGTTGGTTTGTTGTGATGTGACTGCGGGTTCAGAAACTTTATTTTTCAATCTTTGTTATTATTTCTAAATTCAGGACTTTTATGATTGGAGCATGTTTTCATAACATATGAAGCTAGTTGTTGCTTTTTAAAATCTTTTTCCAGATTGCTTTGAATGTCGCGGGAAAAGGTGATAGTTTGGCATCATGGGATGGTATTTTAGACCTTCCAGAACAGAACACTATTCATAAAGATTGCTTAGAGTTTATTGGTAAGTTTAAGATTATTTTCAATTAGCGAATTTTTTATCTTGTTATAATATGGGATATGTTATATGTTTAAAGGTCTTATGAATAGTTTTAGATTTTTTTTAATTCTTATGAAATATTATTTAATAATTTTAAGAAAAAGAGCCTACTTTTTGCTGTTTCTTTTACATTGTTTGTTCTATTTTTCATATACACTTATGTTGCAGTTTTGAACTTGGTTTTTGTATAATTAAAGATCTGTATGATTGTATACAGTCCAAAGGGACTATGTTCTAAAAGTTTATCTATAAATCATAGATCATGATCTGCTGTACAAAACCTGTTATAAATCATGGGTGAATAAGTTTTCAATTCTGTTTAATTCACAATATAGATTGTTAATTTAGTTTATACTTCTCTTTTCTAATTCATCTAGAATCTTTCATTCCTCTTTCCATCATATTTTAGTTTACTTATTGGTTAAATAGGCTTCTGTGTTCTAACTATACAGAAATGTCATTGGTGGAATGGGCAAAAGGAAGGGAATTTGGATCTATGATATGAGGGCAGCACATGATGTATCATATGTTAATGAGATGACTTTGATTTTATTGATTCTGTTATAGATTTGTTCATATTTAGTTTGAAATAGTATTTGTGCTTATCCTGTGTGGGAGCTGTCAATAAAGGAATTTATAGACAGTTTTATATTTATACATGTTTAGAGTATAAACCTACAAAACAGGCAAAAAGAAAGGGAATTTGGTGGTGGATAATGAATCCCTTTCACTCCTCTTGCCAAAGTTATAGTGGCAGCTGCTGATTGTGGGTTAGATGACAATTGTCTCGAAGACACTTTTTTGCCTTCCAGCAACATGAGTTATTCATATTTTTGCCTATCACTTTGCTTCAGATTGGCCATTCTTTTTTTTTTTTTTTTTTTGGTACTGGGGATTGAACCCACAGGCACTTAACCACTGAGCCACATCTGCAGCCCTTTTTAAAAAATACATTTTATTTAGGGATGGAGTCTTCCTGAGTTTCTTAGGGTCTCGCTCAGTTGCTGAGGCTGGCTTTGAACTTTCAATCCTCCTGCCTCAGCCTTCTGAGCTGCGAGGATTATAGGGGTGCACCACCATGCGTGGCTCAGATTGGCTGTTCTTATAAATATAGGTCAAGTATTAGTAAGTACTGATGTCTAGTAAATTATATTCAGAAGTCTTCTTTTCCCTAGATAAGAAAACACAAAAGTGAAACTGATTGTTTCTCTTAGTTTTCTTTTCTTTGAACAACTATCTTGCTTTAAGTTTAAAAGAAGATTATAAGAGCTTTGCCTGTTTTTTTCCCTGCTTGGAGTTTCGATCCATGAACCAATGGTTATTAAGTAAGTATGAGGACTAGTACTCTCCTGTAATTTTACTTTGCCTTTGTCATGCTCTAAATTCCCTCACATGATACTGTGCATTTGTGAACAAATGGAATACTAGCCGCTGAGCCTCCAACAGGTCCTTGGTAACTTTATTTTGACACTTATTTTCTAGACCAGCTTTCAGTGCCAGAGGAAAAGGCAGCACAGTTACTTCTGGATATTGAATCTGTAATTACCTTTTATTGTAAATCACGGAATATAAAATATAGCACATCCCTTAGCTGGATACATCTACTGAAACCATTGGTGCATCTTCAACTGCCACGGAGCGATTTATACAACTGCTTTTATGCTATCATGAATAAGTACATCCCCAGGTAAAATATGATTTATGGTTTTAAAAGTCAGTAAAGATCTAGTTAGCTTTGAACTAAAGATGTTGGATTTACTTTGATAAATATTCAAGTAATTTTTAAGATTGAACTGTAATTGTTAATTTGACTTATTTTTGTCATTATAACCATTTTTGAAAGGATTCTTTATTTAAGAATTTACACTTCTAAGGTTTATATCTGTAGTCTAACTCTTTAAGTTTATTTGATGTTATGTCTATTTTAATTACTTCACTTCAGAAATAAAAATAACAGTGTGTCTAAGATAAAAACAGTATTTTTGGAATGTGCCTTATGAGGTGCTAGGATTACAGTTAGAATTACAGTCCTATATCCTATGAATTATAGTCCTAGAAACAGACATTGAACAAGTAAATTGGAATGTGCCGAGTGCTGGGAAGTTGAAATAGAGAATGCTGTGGGAATATATAGTGGGGGTAACTTAACTCACTTTGGTGGTCAGGGCTGGTTTCCCTGGACTTGAGATATTGAGACCAAACAAATGTGTAGGTTGTTGTGGTGGGAGTCATGGTAGTGGGGCATTGAAGGAGTCAAAAAGAATAGTTCCCAGTAATGTGGATCAGATAGTCTGAATTATAGAGCAAAAAGAAACTTTATATGTACTCCAGACCAGTGCCTTGGCTACATGACCTTGGAAGCACATTAGAATAATGGTGATAATCACAAAAATTCTACTGCCTATTTGCATACCTAATTAATTAAATTAAAATTTCTTGGTGATGGGACTCAAACATCATTGTTTGTTTAGGCTTCCCAGTTAATTCTAGTGTGTTGCCAAGGTGGAGTGCTGTTCTGATCCTGGATAGGTAACTGACTACCATTATTTGTTATCTTCTGTGTGTTAGCACGCTATTCTAGGAGTGTCTTACATTTTTTTTTCCTGATTTAAACAGTGGCTGTTTAAGGTGAGTATCTGATTTACAATATAGAAACTGAAGCAAAGAGATAATTTCTTTTTCAGGATTATACTTCTGATATATGACAGAGTCAAGATTTGAATCCAAGTTTGAAAGAACACCCTTTTCTTCACTGGTGTGGTTTTCCACCTTGGTTGTGTATTAAAATCAACTGAAGAACTTTTTCTTATTTTGAATAACAACTTTATATCATTCACATACTATAAAATTCACCTTCTAATCTGTATAGTTTACTGTCTTTTAGTATAATCACAGAGTTCTGCAGCTATAACTGGTTAATTTTGGAACTTTTTGATCACCCAGAAACAAACCCCATTCCCATTTAGTAGTCAGCTCTCAATTCCCACATAATACCCCTAGTACTAGGCAGTCACTAACCTGTGTTTTGTTTCTGTGAATCTGCCTGTTGTGAGCATTTCATATAAATGCCACCACACAATATGTCTGCTTCCACTTATCATGTTTTCAAGATTCATCCATATTTTGTAGTATATATCACACTTCTAAGAAATTTCTTTATTTGTTCTAATTAGATATACAATACAGTAGAATGCATTTGACAAATCATACATAAATGGAGTATAACTTATTCTTCTGATTGTACATGATGTAGAGTTACACAGGTTGTTTAATCATACATACACATAGGGTAATGATGTCCAATTCAATCTACTATCATTCCCACCCTCCTATGCCTTCCCTCTTTTTTTTTTTTTAAGAGAGAGAGAGAGAATTTAATATTTCTTTTTAGTTTTCGGCGGACACAACATCTTTATTTGTATGTGGTGCTGAGGATCGAACCCCGCACCGCGCGCATGCCAGGCGAGCACGCTACCAGTTGAGCCAAATCCCCAGCCCCCGCCTTCCCTCTTTATACCACTCTTTCATCTCTTTTTTTCTGCTTTGTCAAATAATATTTCATGTACACGTATAACACATTTACCATTCATCAATTGATGGACATTCGTGTTGTTTTTACTTTTTGTCTATTATTACTATGCTGCTATGAACATTTGTGTACAAGTTTTTCTGTGGCCATATTTATTTTTATTTCTTTGGGATATGCGCCTAGAAGTAGAATTGCTGGATTATATAACTAAGTGTTTTTGTTTTGTGGTGCTGAGGATTGAACTCAGTGCCTTGCACATGCTAGACAAGTGCTATATCACTGAGCTACATATCCAGTCCCTCATTGTGGTATTTTACTTGAATTTCCTTGATGGTCAATGATGTTGGGCCTTTTTTTTTCATGTGTTCATTGGCAATTTCTTTATTTTCTTTGGAGAAATGTCTAACCAAAGAACAACTCTGTAGAACAGAAACATGCCTATTCAGTCAAAGGTTCCTGTAGTTTCAAATCAAAGTGGATTAGGAAGAGCCTATGTATCGGTTATATTTTAAAAGCTCCTCTAGTGATTATGGTACATACCAGGATGGAGAACCTCTGTGCAACCTTGAAGCTATACTACTTTATGTAAGGAAGACAGAACTAAAGATGCCAAAAGTCAAGGCCAAGATCATGGCAGAGCTAAAACTGGGATTCCTTTATAGGACTTACTCTGTCATACTAGGTCTCTCAACTGCATATATTTTAGTACTTCTCATGGACATCTTTTGGTGTAACTGAGCTAGAAATAATAAAGGACATGATGTCCCAGCTTTGTCTCTAGAGAGGTGATGTTAGTGTTGGTAGGAATAAGGTAAGAGGCTTTTACATTGAACTGTGTTAACACTGTCTTATCAGGTTCCACCGGTTTCTTTTTCTTTTTAAAGAGAGAGAGAATTTTAATATTTATTTTTTAGTTTTCGACGGACACAACATCTTTGTTTGTATGTGGTGCTGAGAATTGAACCCGGGCTGCACGCATGCCAGGCTAGCGCGCTACCGCTTGAGCCACATCCCCAGCCCCCTCCGGTTTCTTTTTCTATGAGTTCACTGTAACACAGCATTCCAGTCATTGTCAGCCTTAAGGTCCCTGGAAAGAACACTGAACCCCCAGGACTCTGCCAGAAGAACTCTACTGTAGCATATTCCTTTACTGTAGATTCAGATGTAAGATGGGTAGAAATCTATGAAGCATGGTGCCTTGTGGTAGAGAGTGCCTTGCAGTATATAGCCTTTAAGTGAATAGATGCTGTTAATAATGGCACACTCCCAGAGACCCACTTTTTCAGAAGATGAGATCATGAGCTCTGCAATTGTTGTGGTAGTTTATGGTCCTTTCTGTTTGTTGTACCTTAGCAGTCTGTTGCTTTGTATTTATATGGTAAGGATAATGTTCATACTAAGGGAGGACATACCAATATGGATCCAGTTCTGTCTCTGGACAAATGAATTGCCAACCTAGAGCTTTCTCTGTAAAACCTATGTACTATCTGCAGTATCAAAAAGTTGTATGTTGAGGGCTGGGGTTGTGGCTCAGTGGAAGAGCGCTTGCCTAGCATGCATGAGGCACTGGGTTTAATCTTCAGCACCACATAAAAATAAAACAAAGATATTGTGTCCACCTAAAATTAAAAAATAAATATTAAAAAAAGTTGTATGTTGAGAGTCATGCCAGAATCTGGTAGTAACCTCAGATCTTAGATTTGTACAAATTGTTTTTTTTATTCCCCCTTGTAGAATTTTTAATTTTTAAGATTATTTTATTTTCATAGTGTTGAGGATTGAACACAGTGCCTTGCACGCCAGGCAAGAACTCTGTCCCTTGAATTGTATTTTAAAATATTCTCTATTAATACTATAATGTTAAAACTGAATTAATTTAATTAATATTTTTACAAGAGGCCTTTTAACCTTGTTTTGTTTTCTTTACAGTTTGCTTTTTTAGAGACTGTTCCCCTGCAAAAATACCACATGTTGATATGTCATATATAGGAAAGGGGACAGAATGACGTAATAATTTAATGCACAGTTTCTCTATGTATAAGTCTTAAAGTCTTAGCTCTATCACTTCTTAGCCATGTGGTCTGTTACTTGACCTTTTTTTTTTTTTTTTTGGTGATGCTGGGATTGAACCTAGGGCTTTGTGCTGAGAGGCAAACACTCTACCAACTGAGCTATATCCCCAGCCCTTTTACTGCCTTCTTAAATCTCAGTATTCTCATCTGTAAAATGGATATAGATTTGTTTGTGAATATAAAATGAAATAACTTTGTAATATGCTTACTACAGTGTTTGGAATAAGATAGTGCTTCGATAAATACTGATTTTTTATTATGATGATCCATATTTTAAACTATTTAAACATTTTTGTTATTTCATTAGATAACATTCTTGCTTCATTCCCTTGTGACTAGTCAGATAGCATGTGTTGCAAAAACTGAATGAAGTAAAGCTTATAATTTGTGGCAGAGGAATTGGTGAAGCCTACTGGTTCAAATGAAGATTAAATTAATTATACATGGTTCATATAATACCACACTTTAACCAGTAAGACTGTGTGGAAATAAATGTATTTGCAGTGTTTTTTGTTTTTAACCTTAGTTTTTAAAAGTACTGCTCACCTGTATTCAGTAAGATCATACTACCAGAAAAGCAAAGCAATCTTTCAAGGTACACTTTTTCCATAAAGTAACTCAGTTAGGTTTTTTTTTTTTTTTTTTTTTTTTTTTTATTGTTGTTGTTACTGGGAATTGAACCACCCAGGGGCACTTAACCACTGAGCCACATCCCCAGCCTTAGTGACAGGGTCTTGCTGAGTTGCTTAGGGCCTCTCTGAGTTGCTGAGGCTGGCTTTGCCCTTTGGATCTTCCTGCCCAAGCCTCCTGAGCCACTGGGATTACAGGCATGTGCCATCATGCCCTGCTTAGTTAAATTTTGAGGTATTAAAAACTTAAATGCTAGAATGAACTAATGTAAAGATAGTATCTAATAAATCTAGACAGAAATGTGGGAATTGAAGTTAAGGCTCCTGAGTTTGGAGTCAGGGACTGTGTCTGGGAGAATGAAGCACTGTGCTTCCTGAAAGGTAGCCCAGTGCACAGACCTGATCTGGATCTGCTCCAGAGGGTTGTCTTCTTTGAGCTCAGATTCTTGGATATCTGGGTGAGAAGATGATACTATTTGAATCAGAGTTGTAGGGCTGGGGATGTAGCTCAAGTGGTAGAGCACTTACCTAGTATGCACAAGGTACACAGGGTTCAATCCCCAGAACCTCCAATAAAAAAAAATGTCATATCAGGTGGTCATGACCTTGGCCAGAGCAGCCTGCTTAAAAACTGTAGACTGATATGCTTCCTTGAAATAATGCCAGAAAACTGCATGGAATCCAGGCCTTTTGTAACTATTTCTACTTTTGAAATAATTTCTAGTTTTGAAGAATCTTTCACTGGAATGTGATGTTTTTTGAAAAAGGCATTTTAATAATTATAATGATAGAATATGTATTTGGAGCCTTTAAAACAATGTTCATGTTCAACTCTCCCATTTTACTCTCACAATAACATCTTGAAGGACAATTGTCAATAAGATGATATTTGGTGTCTTCTGGAATTCATTCTGAGTACCTGGTATCTAGGCTACGTTGACAGTTTCTAAGACTTTAGTTTATTATTCTGAAATGTTTATCTTTGGTCATTTCAGATTTTTGCCATTGCTAAAGGACATTCCTAACAGAGGATATGAGCTTTATTGGAACTAACTTAAAACCTCTCTAGGAGTTTGCTTTTTGACTTGATTGGAAAGCAAGGGGCAGGACTTCTTTAGAACTCTACAGATCTTTTGGGATCCTAATCTTATCACAATAACCTAAGTGCTGTTTCAGTGATTCCTATAGTCGTCTCACTTTGATTGCTGCCTGGGGGTTCACTTGGAGAGAGTCTCCCTAAAGTGGCTGTTGAGCTGTTGTAAACTTTTGTCATGTCAGGCATATTGAGGTGTTAGCAACTGAACTCTGTTTGGTTCTTGCTTGCTACAAATGCTGTGGTATTCAAATATTCTGGGGTTGGGGAGAGGAGGTAGGTCTTGCAATAATATTTATTACTAATGTAATTATTTATAATGTAAAAAAACACTGCTTCTTTTGTCTTCTAGGGATTGTTCCCTGAAGGGGAGACCATTTCATCTCTTCCGATTACTCATCCAGTACCATGAGCCTGAGCTTTGTTCTTTTCTTGATACTAAGAAAATTACTCCAGACTCCTATGCACTCAACTGGGTAATAAAGTGAAAGTAGGAACACTTAATGAAAAATAGTTTATATAAAACTATAGTGAGGTAGTATTTTTTCGAAGAAAAAAAAGAAAAATTCTAAATTGTAGATCATTACTACCTAAACCAAAGAAATAAAATTATTAGCACTTCATAATAACTTTCTTTATTATTTACTTTTTTAAGTTCAAATTATTTGATATGAAGTTTAGCCTTTTGTTTTATACATATGTAGAAGTATAACTAAAATGTATTTAGTACATATTAATGCATATCATGCATTAATGTATATCTGTATACTCACATACTAATTATAGCAATATATTTAATACATATTTTCACAAATATATGCTTATAATATATATAAACATATGATTTATATCAGTTCAATTTAAAACCTGTATGTATTTAGATTATAGGTGCTTGCCTATAATCCCAGCAGCTCCAGAGCCTGGGTCAGAATTGCAAGGTCAAAATCAGCCTCAGCAACTTAGCAAGACCCTAACCAACTTAGCAAGACCTTGTCTCAAATAAAATATAAAAAGGGCTGAGTGGGGCTGGGCATGATGGTGCATGCCTGTAATCCCAGTGGCTCAGAAGGCTGAGACAGGAGAATCACAGGTCCAAAGCGAGCCTCAGCGACTCAGCAAGACCCTGTCTCTAAATAAAATACAAAAAAGGGCTGAGGATGTGGCCCAGTGGTTAAGCGCCCCTGGGTTCAATCCTGGTATAGAAAAAAAAAGGGCTGAGTGGGGCTGGGGTTCTAGCTCAGTGGTAGAGTGCTTGTCTAGCATGTGTGAGGCACTGGGTTCGAGCCTCAGCACCACATAAAAATAAATAAATAAAATAAAGGTATTGTGTCCATCTACAGCTAAATTTTTTTTTTTTTTAAAAAGGGCTGAGGATGTGGCTTAGTGGTTAAGTACCCATGGGTTCACTACCTGGTAACAACAACAACAACAAAAACCCCAAAGTTATATGTATTTAAACTGTTGATGGTAAACAATCACAAGGAAAATTACTTAAGATTATCAAATGATTAGTGTCAAACAATAGTAAATTCAGTGCTATATTCTTGGTTATTGATATTTTCAAAGGGAAGTAAGTGGTTCTCAAATCTTGGTCTCGGGACCTCTTAAACTCTTAAAATTTATTGACAGTCCATTGTTTATATGGATTATGTTGATTAGAAAGTAAAACTAAGGCATTTTAAATATTCACTTGTTAATACACTTAAGAGTAATGATAAATTCCTTGCATAACATTATTATCAACTTTTAATGGAAAACAACTGTGTTTTCCAAATGAAAATTAGTGTGAATATTGGCACTGTTTTATAGTTTTACAAATCTCCTCAATATTTGGCTAAGTCAAGAGACAGGTGAATTCATTTATCTGTTTCTTTATTCAATCTGTAATGATATGTAGCCTTCAGAGACTTCTATTGTTCATTTTTGAGGGATTAAGCATGAAATAAGCCAATAAAAGTTAAGTATTGTTATGAAAATAATTTTGATCTAGTAGACTCCCCAGTAAATATAGATTCTGGGGATTTCTAAAGTCCTCAAACCACAATAAGAGAACTGCTTTTCTGGGTTAAATGAAGGTATTTCTAAAGCAATAATTGGGTACTACAAACTATTAAAAAATTAAGCATATTCTTTGATCACATGTTAATTAACTTTACTTTAGGAAGAATCCCATTTCTGCCACCTATTAACTGTGTGATATGACATTTAGGTTTCGGAACTTCGATTTCCTTAATAATAATAATAATAATAATATTTTTTATTTCTGAGGATGATGGGATGAGTTAGCAACCAGGAAATGGGAATTACAGAATCTACTCTTTTCTCTTCTGGACTCATTACATTTCAAGCCTCAATGGTCTATTCCTTCGTTCCCTCTTGGCCAAAGTCTTGTCACTTTTAGTTAAAATAGTAAAGTTCTTAAAAATTGTAGTTTCTCTGGGTTTCACATGTTGCTGTTAAATCCTCCTGAGATGCTGAGATTATAGGCATGCATCACCATGCCCAGTTTAAATAGTTCATTGTTGTTAGTAGTATCATATTGATGAAATGAAGCTTTCTTTCTTTAAATCAAGAAAGGAAGCAGTTAAAAGTAATTCCTAAATCCAGAGAAACCATAATTTAAGCAATGCAATCATAGTTTTAGTTGAGCTGAATTTAAAGATGACTGTATATTACTATTCTGTTTGTATTTATATCTTCTTATCTGTATTTATAGTAGTAATTTTTCAAACAACAAAAAGTATTAGCATTTTGTACTTTAAAAGCCCTGTAGTCAAATGTAATTACATGGGCTGTGGAGTCTTAGTCCTTTTACCTAGTCCCCACACCAGCGCTCACCAGCTCTGTAAATTTAGGAAAGTTGTTTCATCTGAATCTAGTACCTGTAAAATGGAAAGAAAATGACGACTTTGCAATCCTGTTATGAGAATTAAGAAGTAGTAACCTGACGGTAGTTTAGCATCTAGCAAAAAAGTATGCATTAAACATGTGTGTTCTCAAGATGTTTTAAATATATTCCTTTGGATGGAATTGTTTTTGAATCTAATGAACATTTAGAAATCTAAAAATATCACTGAATTCATGCAATTTAAAAAACAATTGGGCCAGGTGCAATGGCTCCAGAGGCTGAGACAGGAGGATTACAAGTTCAAAGCTAGCCTCAGCAACAGCAAGGTGCTAAGCAACTCAGTGAGACCCGGTTTCTAAATAAAATATAAAATTATAAAATAGGGCTGGGGATGTGGCTCAGTGGTTGTTTCCTTGAGATTAATCCCCATTTCCAAAAAAAAAAAAAAAAAAAAGAAGAAAAAAAGAAAAAAACCCACAATTGGGTTGTAAAGATACTTATAAATTAATGACTCTTTTTATTTGAAATACACAACCACAGAGCTGAAATCTATTGAATGATATGAATTTTATCTCATTTATTTGAAATGATTTACAAGTAAATTTTGGAAATAAATCACATTTACATTGCTGTTAAAATTACATTAGGTGTTTTTAAGTTCTATGTTTGATCCTCACTATTATAAGTTAAATACTGTCCTGTGATTAATAATAATTATGCTAGTTGCCCTTATAGAGCTTGATAGGTAATTGTACTATTTTTTTATGCTAAGGCAAAGGAATATTAATTACTTTGGGTATTCTAGATTAATTATTTCTCTTTTCACAACAGTGGTAGGAGATGGATAATAGTATTCCTTTTTTTGTTTGTTTGTTTTTTAAAACAGAAGTAGAAATGGAAGCTTTAAAGAGGTTAAGTGAGGGCTGGGGTTGTGGCTCAGAGGTAAAGTGCTCGCCTAGCATGTGTAAGGCCCTGGGTTCGATTCTCAGCACCACATAAAAATAATTAAATAAAGGTATTTAAAAAAACAATATAAATAAATAAAGAGGTTAAGTGATGTGCTCTAAGTTACACAGCTATTAAGTGGCCTGTTGTCCTTTGAACATACATGTTCTGCCTTTGGATTTCATACAGTAAAATTAAGGCACACATTAAATTATCAGGTGCAGAAAATTCAATGTAATATTACTTATTCATTTGCTTTAATATTTTTAAAAGAACAAGTCAGCTTCAGTGGTTTATGTCTTTCATTGCATTTCCTGATTGCAGCTTGGAAGCCTTTTTGCATGTTACTGTTCCATTGAAGTCACTCAGGCAATATGGGATGGATATCTACAACAAGCGGATCCATTTTTTATTTATTTCTTAATGCTAATTATCCTTGTGAATGCAAAGTAAGTATCAGATTGGTTAGATTTTTCCCCCCTCTTTTCTCATGGTGCTCTGTTAATGTTTAACTGAAAATCATTTGATTCCCTTTTACAGAGAAGTTATTTTGGCACAAGAGTCAGATAGCAAAGAAGTTGTTATTCGTAAGTATTACTTAATGTGGAGAATATATTTGTGGTTACTTAATCTCTCTAACACTGTTTTCTCATCCATAAATTTGGGAGAGTAGGGTAGAGCACTCTCTAGTTAGAGACCTTAAAGACTATTTCACCTTGTTTGTCATTCTTTAATGTATTTTCACTCTTTTTCCATATACTGTTTCTTTGGTTTTAGTATTCAAATAGAATGCCCTTGTCTCTCCTTTCCCAACCCTTCCTTAGTGTACCTTTCAATGCTCAGTTTACAGTTGCCAATGTGAAACCTTGTTTTCTTTTTTGGGTTCTCTTCAGTTTAGCTCCCATACAAAGATAGTCACTTCTGCATATTGCCTGGCACTTTTTACTATGTATAATAATGTTTATCTTACATTGTGATTTATTTTTATTTTCTCACAGAAGTTGAAGTCATGACTTATTCTTACTCATTTCTAAGGGCCCTGAGATTTTATATGTGATGTTGAATAAATCAGAAAATTCTTATTAAAGCTAATGAATTTGATTTCATTGTCTTACTATCCTTCACTAATAGAATTACGTCAACAGTTTATCCTTTGGGGAAATTAATTTTTCCACAAGCAGCTCTAAAAGCATCACTGTTGAAATTCCATTGATATAGTTTTTATTATGTTGATGTTGCTTTAGCTTTGAACATAAATATTATTAATTGTTGTATTTTTTGCAGCTTATTAAATGTTGTCATATCTGTAATCACATTTCAGAGTTCTTGGAAAATACTCCATCCAGTTTGAATCTAGAAGATATAGAAGACCTTTTCTCTCTGGCACAGTATTATTGTAGTAAAACACCAGCTTCTTTTAGGAAGGTAAAAGATAAGAAATGACCTACTCTTTTGCTTTCACATTTTGGGTACTTATTGTTTATTTTGTATCCATCAGTTAAAATCCTCTAAATTTTTTTCTGTCTTTTTAGGTGTTGCACTTTGTGTGATTTTTCCTATAAATATGCAGAAATAGATTTAAAAAGTGGGAACCATGTTACCTTTGCTGTGATTATTAGTTATTGCTGATCATGAGAAAATTGACTGAGATATTTCCTAAATTAGTGCTTTTGTGTCTTCAAATATTGTATTACAAAAACCCAATGGAGGTTATGTAGTTATGCCTTTCTCTGGAGTTTAGCCTTGGACAACTTTAGCAATACAGAGTTCTTTTGTAAACAAATCAAGAGTCACTTAGCCCTTAAGAGACCTAGATCCTTAGACTAATAAGTGGTTTCAATAGAAGACTGGGAAACTAAAATAAAATAAAGGATTAGAAGCACACAGGTTTGTCAGTGATCTCTGTGGCTTGTGAGATCATTGATGCTGTTTTTTGTTTGTTTGTTTGTTTGTTTTGTTCTTTTAAGCATTCTGCCACATGCTTCCTAGTAGTTAGTCAGCAGTGTCACTAAAATGAGGTTAAATTATGTTCAGTTATTGTGTCTCAGATGGCAGGTATAGTTAACCATTAATCTTTTGAGAACATTTCCTCAGTCAGTTAAAAAACTAATTCTAGGAACTAATTTAAGCTATTTTAATAATTTCCTTATGTAGATCATTTAATTTTCAACAGTGTTGGGTAAGTCAGGTGATTGAAAAGTGATATAACATACTGGGTGAAAAAGAAATCTTACTGATTTTCATTGTTGTGAGAGTAAACATAGTAAATAATCTGAATTAGTAGTTGAAAATTAGACCAGACTACATCATTGTATTACATAACTTATGCAATCAGTTTCTCTCAGATTTTTTGTTCTTATTACATTATGTGAAAAAGTTATGAGCAAACATTAAATTTTTTCCCCCCTGTACCAGGGATGGAACTCAGGGTCTCATACATGCTAGGCAAGCATTCTACTCCTGAGCTATATTCCGTACTCTAAAATTTAATATTTAACTATGTCAAATGGCTGTGTGGAATGTTATTTTTTCTTAAGTCTGTGATTCATATGATTTCTGACAGGGACTTTGTGGACTTTCATATCTTTTAGCCTATAATATTTGAGAAATATGATATTAAGTTTTAAAAGTCATAGGACTCAAGGATGTTCCATAATTATTTCACATTTTATTTTAGTTTAACAAGTCTATTTTTATGAAGAGTTTGATTTTGATTTTCTTGAAAATGTTTAAAAATTTCTCTCTAAATAGGATAATCATCATCTCTTTGGTAGTACTTTGTTGGGAATTAAGGATGATGATGCAGATCTGAGTCAGGCTCTTTGTATGGCCATTTCAGTGTCAGAGATCCTTCAAGCAAATCAGCTTCAAGGGGTAAGTAAAAAACCCATTTGACAGCTTACTATGCCTTTTATTTTATTTAATTTATTTATTGGTTCTTTTTAGTTATACATGACAGTAGATTCCATTTTGATAAAAATTATACAAGCATAGAATATATCTTATTCTGGTTAGGTTCCCATTCTTGTGGATGTATATGAACGATGGAATTCACTGTGAAGTTTTTATATATATACACAGGAAAATATGTCACATTCACTCCATTTCCTATCCCTACTCCCTTTCCTCTATTTCCCATTGTCTGAATTACTGAACTACTGTCCTCATCTACTGAACTTCTATTCTTCCTCCTACCCACTCGACTCATCTTTATTTTGGGTTTGTCTCCACATAACAGAGAAAACATTTTACCTTTGGCTTTTGGGGACTGGATTATTTCACTTAGCATGGTAGTCTCCAGATCCATCCATTTACTGGCAGATGTCATAAAGTCATTCTTCTTAGCTGAGTAATATTCCATTGTGTGTGTGTGTGTGTGTGTGTGTGTGTGTATCACATTTTCTTTATCCATTTGTCTGTTGAAGGGTACCAAGGTTAGTTCCATAGCTTAGCTATTGTGAATTGAGCTGCTATAAATATTGATGTGGCTGTGTCACTGTAGTATGTTGATTTTAAGTCCTTTGAGTATATACTGAGGAGTGGGGTAGCTGGGTCAAATGGTGGTTACATTCCAAGTTTTCTGAGTAATCTGCACATTGCTTTCCGTAGTGGTTGCACCAATTTTTCAGTCCCACCAACAATGAACTATGCCTTTTAAATATGAGGAATTGGCATTGAGGCTATAGCTCAGCAATAGGGCATGTGCTTAGTATGCATGAAGCCCCAGGTTCAATCCACAGCACGAAAAATAAAGAAAGAAAGAAAGAACCCACACTTCCTCCTTGTTCATTGATTCCCGCAAAATAATTTACAACAGTATGGCTTTTTTAGTATTTCTAATAGTGTGTTGAATTTTCTGTCCAGCTGATAAGTTTTTAAACTGCCAGCTTGTCTGCTATTATAATTGTCAGTAATTTTTTATCACTCTTGACAGAAATTTTTATAAATTGCCATATCTGTTTTCATATTTCAGCAAAGCAACTGATTGTGGCATTGTATAAGGGTGACTTTAGCACATAACAATTAAATTCTGAGTAGTTGCAGAGCTAATTGAATTACATGGTTAAATGCTATAAAGCTAGCAAATGAAAATTTTATGATGATTTGCTGATAATTTTTGTCCGTTATAATCTTAATAAAAATCCAATGAGCCAGGTGACCAGTGATATTTTTCAGTACATGCTGTTAATTACTCATAGTTCCTCAGTCAACCTTGGGCATGTGTATTTGGAAGGTGGGATATATTTCCAAGGTTCGACAGTGGAAAACAGATACAGGAAGACGGGCCTTTTACAGAGGTCAGTTGGAGTTCTTATTATAACTGTACTATGGTTTAGAATTTTAAAAATATAAGCATCCCAAATATTTTTCCTGCTTTTTTTATTGTTGCATTATAGTTGCCCATAATGGTGGGATTCGTTGTTCATATTTATACATGCACACTATATAACAATATAGTTTGGCCAATATCATTGTATCTAGAATTGTGTTTATAACTATATAGTGATAAACATTTCAGAATTGTCAGATTCCAATATAATTACTTTTATAATTCAAACTGACATTCTCTTGGTAAATATTTTAAGACTTTTGAGTCAAGAACAATATATTCAGTAAATTAAAAATGTATTTTAACTGTTAAAAATGAATAGGAGTATTTAGGACCTTTAGGTTATTTTTTCATATCTGCACAAATTGGGTCCTTTAATTCTGTTCGAGATCTGTTTGTTTTAAATGTAAACTTGTTTCATCTTCTTTGTTTGTTAGCGTTATATTGTGGATTATGAGCCTCATGGCAAATTACAGTATGGCAAATGTTGTTTTCCTTTTAGGAAGGAGTCCGATTCTTTGTGGTGGATTGCCGTCCAGCTGAGCAGTATAATGCTGGGCATTTATCAACTGCTTTCCACTTAGATTCAGATCTGGTTAGTATAAATGCTGGTAAATTTTTTGTAAGAGAGAAAGTAACTTTTTTTTTTAGTTCATAATTTTATATTTATGTTTCAGATTGGGTATGTTTCTTTTTGCTTAAGGAGGGAGTCTCTGCCCTTAGAAGAAATGTTGCTCTCAGACTTACTTTTTACCCAGTATACTCTTGTAGCATCATAAAGGGTAAATGAAAACTGTTAACTATGTCTTACTGTTGCTTACCATTGTTATGTCAGTCAATTCTAAACTTACTATGAATTACCTGTAGAGCATTTAGCATAGTGCCTTGCACCTGGTAAGTACTCTGTAAAGATCAGCTCTTATTATAATTGGATAAGACTTATAAAAGCTTTTACCATAAGCCATTTTTTTTTTTACTGTAAGCACATGTACTTATGTATATAACAGACTCATATTTAGTAAGGTTAGTATTTGGCATATGAAGTACTCAGTTATTAAAATTACTGCCCTAGAGTCATTACAATTGAAAGAGTAAACTAAAAATTAAATCTTGTCAGTGAAGTTTAGTATCATTTGTAGAACTGAGACTAACATAATTTAAGTTGTTCTGGGGTCATTAGAGCCTCAGAGATAGTGAAAATAGAGGAGTAGGGAAATAAATCCCATGCTGAATATGTAGTCCACCCTTCTTCTTTTCACCTTGTCTAGAAAAGTTGATTCTAAGGCTAAAAGGAAGTGTAGAAGGGCCTAGGTGGTGTTGAGAGGAAACTAATGGAAAATGAAGTAGACGAATTCAGAGTTTTGGACTAAATCAAAGACTATCCTGGCTTGTTTATATCCTTTATGTGAATTCTGTACCTTTCTCTTCCTTGATTTCTCTCATGCTTATTTTGAAAATTTACTCTATTTATTCATTAATAACTGAATTAAAAGTTTTTCAAAGGATATCCCGAGTTAACCACTATTATCAGCTTGTTTAATCTTCTGGACTTTTAATATATATTTAACTATTTCTTTTTTTGCCGCTTGCTTTTTCTTTTTACCTATTTCTTGGCGATCTTTCCATTTAACTGTATTTGTTTTTATTTTTAATGCATATCGGTCCATGGTAAAGATATTATTGATATAATTAATATTATTACTATATATTTATTGCCTGATATGTATATTTGGGTTATTTTAAGTTTTCTTGTTAAAAAAAAACAATGCTGCAGTTAATATTCTTATGCTTATTCTGTGATCTTGGGCCAAATATTTCTATAAAGTAGATTCTTAAAAGTAGAATTGTTGTGTTGAGGGATATGGGCATATAAATTTTACTAATGACCATCTAATTACCATTTATTTATTTATTTATTTGGAATTGAACTAAGGTGTGTTTTACCACTGAGCTACATCCCCAGCCCACTTTACTTTTTATCTTGAGACAGGATGTTGATCTGTTTTCCTAGGCTGGCCTCAAACTTTTTGCTGCCTTAGCCTCTGGAGTCAGTGGAATTATAGGCGTGTACTACCACTCCTGGTACCTAATTGCCTTTTTAAAAAGCTGACCTACCTGATATTTCATAACTGTAAACTGAAGATTGTTTCATGTCATCAGCATTATTGGAAATTATTAATCTTTTTTTTTTTTAAACCAAAATGATGGGTGAAAAACAGTGGTAATTACTAGTGGAGTACCCCTGCGTCTTTTAAAAAAGTTTCCCTCTTATATGATCTGTCCTTTTTTTCTATTGGACTTTTATTTTACCTTTTATGTAGCCAATTATAATACTTTAAAAATTTTTTTTGTAGTTATTGGCATACTTGTTTCCTTGAGGGTAAGATATTTTTCATCCTTGTGTCTCTAGTACTTAAAGTAGTGTTGATAAACAAATGGTTTTTACTATTTCTGATGGTCCTCTAAGAAATAACACAACTTGTTCAGTAAACAAAAAATATAATTGTTTTGATCTATTTTTTGGTCATGGACCCTTCTATTCAATCTTAAACTCTTTTTGCTGTGATACCGAAGCATACTGTAGCTAGTTGTGTGTTATATAAGAAACAACAAATATTTTTTTAGTAGGGTTGTATTTGTGGGGAGTGGGAGGGAGAGAGACACTCTTTCTGTGAACTTACAGCATTTTGTTCTAATGTATTATAGGCTCATTTACAGACATTTCTCTTATCCCAGGGATTACTTATAATAGCCTTTTCTTTTTACATTGTTTTCATGGTGGATCTTTAAATGTTGATTTTATTTTCCTGCAAAAATACTTCAAGTTTTGCAAATATATGTGAAACACACACTTGCCAAGTTTTTGATTTTTAAAAATTGTCTAGATGCTCCAGAATCCATCCGAGTTTGCACAGTCAGTAAAGTCCTTGCTGGAAGCACAGAAGCAGTCCATTGAGTCCGGCTCCATAGCTGGTGGGGAGCATCTCTGTTTTATGGGTAGTGGCAGGGAGGAAGAAGACATGTATATGAACATGGTCCTGGCACACTTTTTACAGGTATGCTGACATAGATTATTTCATTTTGCTCAGTTATTGCTATCACCTTGAAGAAATTTGCCTAGATAATTTTTAACTATTAAGTTCAGATTTGTCTGTATTTTTCTTCATAGCTTTTTGGTTTTGTGTCTTGCCAAGAAAGTTTGTCTTCTAGATTTTTTCACCTGTTTGTATGGTTTATTTTTATGTTTTAATTCTTGAACCCTCTGGTATTTATTTTATAAAAGAAATGAGGTAAGAATGATTTTTTTTTTTTTTTTTTTTTTTACAGATAGCAAACAATTTTGTTAGAAATTTGAAGTACCACCTTCTTATTACACCAAATTCTTCTGTGCATCAGGATATATTTCTGGATAATTCTGTTGTATTCTTTATGACTTCTTATGTTTTAATACTTTTTACTGTAGCCATATAATTCATTTTCATATCTTCACTTTTCAGTTGAGTAAATATGTATATTTATTTATGGCATTTAGCCATCTTTTCTTCTTCTTTTTTTAAAATATTTTTTTAGTTGTAGATGGACACAATACCTTTACTTTATTTGTTTTCTTTTATGTGGTGTGAGAGATTGAACCCAGTGCCTCATGCATGCTAGGCAAGCGCTCTACTACTGAGCCACAACCCCAGCCCCTCTGTCATTTATTTTTCATAATTAACTACAGTATTTTTTATGTTACATTTTCATTAAGGACAAAATATTTTGAAATCTTACCACTTTCATTACATCCTAAAATACCATTTAATTAAATTTGCTTTGACTCTTGCACTATTGGGACTATATTATAAGTAAAATATTAACAATCCTGTTAATATCTATGAAGTTGTCCCCTTTTTCCTACCAACCACCAGACCTTATAATAATACACAAGGTAAATGTATATGTCTCCAGGCCAAAGTCCAGAATGTCAAAGAAAAAATAAAGTGTCCATATATTGCATTTGTCAATATTTTAGAACTATCTGAAGTTTTATTTTAATTAAATTGCATTTTGGAATAATTTTATCATTTATCATTACAGAAAAATAAGGAATATGTGAGTATTGCCAGTGGAGGATTTATGGGTAAGGTTTTAATTAATTTCTTCACCTCCAGTTTTCAGAGAAAATTATAGTGATTGTCAGCAAAGCTGATTTGAAGTTAGTTAATGGGTAGGCTCTTTCTTCAGTCATTCAGTGTTTTCAAAAAAAGACACAGCCAAAAGAACATTTGGATAACAAACAACTGAAATAAGTGAATGTTGGGTGAAGGACTGTTTAGGAAAATGTGTTTAATTAGCTTGTGTTCTAAAATATATATATATATGTATTTACACACACACATGCACATATACACATGTGCACACGTGTGTGTGTGTAGTGCTGGGAATCAAACTCAGGGCCTCATGCATGGTAGGCAAGCACTGTACCACTGAGCTACGTCCCCAGTTCCTTCAAAATATGTTTTTAATAACATGCATGAAAAATTGCTCATACTATATGCCCTTGTGAAGAAGAAGGATTTGATAGGAATGGGAAATGAGCTGGAGGAATGCTTTTCACAGTATGCCCTATATAGTATTTAGGTATTTTATTATCATTTTATTTTTGAATTACTTGAAGGTATTAGCTGGTTTAAAAAGTTGACTGAAGGAATAAAATAAATAAATTGATGTTTTCAAATCTGCAGACTAATATCTGGCAATCTAGGAAAGTAAAATAATTGCCAAATTTCAAAGTCTTTGCAGGCAAATATTTGAGAATTTATGATTAGGTCAGTATAATAAGGTTTCAAAAGAACCTGCCTTATGTTTGGAAAAGAGGTATCATAAAAGTATGGAATTATAAATACTGGGGCAAATTAATGATAGGATCAAATCAATAAATGTTGAAGGTAATAGAATCTTGGGTTTTAGTTATGAGAGTCTTACTAGAAGTAAGTTCTGACCTAAATAGTTTTATGCTGTAACTTGGAGTTTTTGGTAAATTAGGATCTGTTTGCTCTTGGGTCTTTGTTGAATTAAAGATTATGGTTATCCTTCATTTGTGTATAATATGTCAAGATGCATTCTACTGTCATCTACAACTAATTAGAACACATTTAAAAAACAAATACAAAAATGGATTATGATTGTCTTCTATATATCATGACCTCATAACTACCTTGTGAGGCTTACACCCAGAGGTATCTATAAAGGGATTAATTAGTAGTGTTGAGCAAGTGTTGACCTTATGTCCAGTGGTATTTATTAAATATCTTGATAACATGATATAGAATTTGGTTATTAGGCGGATAATTCTCAAAAGTATTTGGAAAGCATTATTTTATAGTAAGCTCTAGATTTTAGAAACTTTTAAACTTTAATTTTTTTAACTAAGAATAATCTTTCTTTCTATAACTATTCTTCATTATGGGAAAATTTACATCTTCTTTTACATAACAAAGCCTTCGTAGGTTTTCTGTTAATCCTTTATGTCCTAAAATTGTTGAAGAGGTATCTGTTAGTACATGAGAGATTAGTTTCCAAAGAGGAAAACAAAAACCATACAATCCAAAGAGGAAAACAAAAACCATACAATTATTATCACCCTTAGGGACAGTTAAAAGTTATTTTTGTACAGGGAGCTTTAAAAAGGAGGAGTAGGAGGTTTGCTCTAGTCTAAGGTTCTTTATTTCTTTATGGAAGTACCAAAAAGAAATACTTATGATTATGTCCTTTAATATTTTTTAACTCAGCTATTATATATTTGTTATACTTACCTGGTAATGAATCTTTCCAGAAGGGTTTCATAGTTCAGGTTTCGTTGTGTTTTGTTTTTCTTGTTTAAGCACTGCAGCAGCACCTGGCAGACATTAATGTGGATGGGCCAGAAAATGGATATGGCCATTGGATTGCTAGTACCTCAGGGTCAAGGAGCAGTATCAATTCTTCTGTTGATGTAAGTGTGTGTGTGGAATATGTCATCAAACTTTTAATAATTTGCAGTAAAGTTCATTAACTGCTAAACCCCTACCATAACAGAAATGATGTAAAAATATCTAAATAGAAATAATGAGGAGTCGGGGCTGGGGATGTGCTCAAGTGGTAGCGTGCTCACCTAGCATGCGTGAGGCACTGGGTTCGATTCTCAGCACAACATTAAAAAAATAAAATAAAAGATGTTGTGTCCACCTAGAACTAAAAAATAAATAAATAATATGGAATCATTTTTTTGTAAGGTTAGTGAAATGATGGATTAAGCCTGCACAGCTAACCTAGCTAGAACTGTTAAGTGAGCTGGTTCCAGAAGTCTTTTAGCTTGGTCCAGCAGTATATTGGGGCTCCTATTTATATTTCCTGAACACACTATGTCTGTACCCTCCCCACCACTAATTCTATGATTAGGATTTTAGTCTAAATTCATGTGTAATATTGGACCAGCCAAAGGAAGATAGGAAATAATTGCCAATCCTGTTGTATTTGATATTTAGTTATGGAGATATATATTACTGCAGGAGCTCTGCCATAGTAAATGTATTTTTCTCTTCTAATTTGGAAATATTTGGGTAGTGTTCTGTGCTTTTTTAATATCTCACATTATTTGAATTAGATGTCACTAAATCATGTTCTTAACAAATAAGAGTCACCTATCTAACATTTACTTTTTAAAACAGAAATGGAAAAGTGTAGTACAGGATTGTGATTACTAATTTGGACTTAAAGTCCTGCCATACTGGGGTTCAGTTTTCAAATCTATAACTTAACCTTCTTTATGATCTCCAGCAATATCTTCCAGCTATATTTTTTCCACCTGTTGCAATAAAGTTGATAATAACAGAACCTTCTTTATAAGGATGACTTAAAAATGATTTGGGGATTAAATGAAAAAATACATACATAGTACCTTGACCAAACTTTTAATAGTAAATATATTGAAGTTTATCTGTAGCCATACAAATCAAAGCAAACTTACTGTCATCTTCAGCAGATAAGGCTTTTGTAAGAATTTTGTTTTTACCTTGATTCTCTAGATATGTGAGAGGTCTTTGTATGAAAAATTAAATAGTATTCTGTTGTATGGATATATTAATAATCAGTTAGTATCCTGTTGCTGAATACTTCACTTTTAATCTTTTTCTAATACAAACATTAATACAGTTAATTTGTATAGTGATATGTTTGCATATGCCATGATTATTTAGTCATAAAAGTAGAATAATTTGATCAAAAGATTACTTATCACAATCCTTAGAATTCTGCTGTACTATCAAATGACCCTCAAAAAAAAAAAAAACCCACATTATTCTAATTTATATTTCCATCCATTCCTTTGGATAGGATTTCTCTTGAAGCTTTTGTCTTCAGATTTGAAAACACTGATTGTGATGCTACTGTAGAAACTACCTTAAAGTTGTATTCTATTCAAAAGTTCCAAATAATTCCAGTTAGTTTAATTAGTTTTAATTTAGGGTATGAAGTTAGAAACATGATCTTTTGTATAGTTAATGACTTAATTATCTTAAGAATAGAAGTAAAATATGTTCACTGTAGATCATATGTAATTAAGAAAAGTATAAAGAAAACAAAATCACCTGTAATTGCCAAGGATAATCACCTTTCATATTTTGAAAAATTCCATCAATTTGTTTACTGAATGTATATTTACCTATTTTTATATGTGTATTTTATATTCTATTTTTAAAGTAATGATCACAGTTTATATAGTTTTGTTTTCTTTTCACTGAATATATAAACATTTTCTAGCGTTTTAAAATGTTTTAAAATAGCCGAGGTTGTGGCTCAGTTGTTGAGTGCTTGCCTAGCATGCATGATGAGGCACTGGGTTCGATCCCTTGCACCACATAAAAATAAAAAAATAAAATAAAAGGTATTCTGTCCATCTACAACTAAAAAAAAATTTTTTAAAAAGTGTTAATTAGATCATAAAACAATACCTAAATCTTTTGGCACTTTCTAATTATTTCTTCTCTATAAAATCTAAAGAGGAATTAATGGACAAAAGATAGGATCACTTAAATGTTTGACATCCATTACCATATTGCCCTCTAGGGTATATGTGAATATTCCATGAAATGATATAAGAATTATACTCACTCTTATTTACATTTAAATATATCAGAATAACCTTTATTTCAAAATTAAAAGCATAAATGAGAATGTTTTAAAAAGCAAAACTATACAAGGAATAAATATTTAAATACTTAGCAACATGAATACTAGTTTGATTATAATTTTCTTATTTTTGTAGACTAGTCTGAATTAAAGATTAGTAACTTTATTTCTTATTGAGTAAAAGAGGTAATTGCAGACTCCAAGCACTTATATATTGCCATTATATCCTAATTTTCCTTTATTCTTTACATTTTAAAAAATAGTTTTACCTAGTAAATTAGTTTGTTGGTGTCACCATAACAAAATAGCACACACTAGGTAGTTTAAACCACAACAATTTATTTTGTTGTAGTTTGGGAGGCTGATTGAGGTGTTGGCAGTTTTGATTTATACCAAGTCCCCTATATTCACATATAATCACATTCTAACGTGTGCTGGGAGTTAGGACTTCAACATATAAATTGGTGTTGATATAATTGAGTCCATAATGTGTGGCTAACCTTTAGCAGTAATATGTCTGCTGATTGTTTGGAGAACAGTTAATTTCTCTATGTTCTTGTTCTTCAGGGTGAATCTTCTAATGGCTCAAATGATAGAGGAATGAAATCACTAGTAAATAAAATGACTGTGGCTTTGAAGACAAAATCAGTTAATGTCAGGGAAAAAGTTATCAGTTTTATTGAGAATACATCAACTCCTGTGGACCGGTGAGTTTGTTAAATAGTGTGAATTTATGAGTAAAACTAAAGAGATGTGCCTTACAGTGAGTTAATGTTAGTTGAATTGAAAGTCTCTAGAAAAGAATCAAAAAGTATATTTTTTGTCAGATTATTTCATAAAGTTCACTATAATTACAGGAGTATACTTTATTGCTATAAAATTTTGGCTGTAAAGATTCCTCTCACCTTTTCCAACAGAATCCTACATTCTTAAGTTTAGATCATTATATAATTTTGTTCACAAATATAAGCTAACTCCATTTTTCCTGTGAATTACTGATTGGGAACATGACAAACAGTTGCCAAGCAAGTTTTAGGATGTTTGTTAAACTACTTCTCATTATTAATATCTGTGAGTTTTTATTTTTCCATGTGTTAGTCTAATTGATCATTCCTTGTTCCTATACTAAAGCTAACCTTCTAACACAGAATTTGTTTCTAGGCAAGCATGATTTTGGAAACATATTATAATATTTAATTTCATTCTTGTGTCTCATAATATCCTAGGAAAGTTGAAATATTTGATTTTAGGAACTGAATGTCAGGAATTTGTTTTTTGTCCCTTTATTAAGTATAGTACTAATGCATACAAAAGTATACTTATTCCCTTTTTGTAAATAGCAAAGACAAATGATACATTTTTTTGTAATCTAAAAATTGTTCCTTATCTAATAACTGATAATTGTTAAAACATTTTATCAGTCCTGACAGATATTTGCTTACTAAAGTTTTATCTGCTCTGTAAAGCCTCTTTTGGTGCTTTTGAATTATAGTACTATTATTTCTACTTTTAATAGCATGAACATTTAAAATTTAATTTTAAAATGCACTTGTTGTATAGACTAGTGATAATCGTAAGTGTTGTCTTTGTTAAAGTATCACTTGAAACTGACTTTTCTTCATTTTTCTTTGTGCTTGGGATGATTGAAGTATTTTTTTTAATAATATACACCTCTGGCTTAGAAAAATTGATTAATTATATTTTTGTTTTAAAGCTATTGCATTTTTTTTTTATAATCATTTTGTTCTGTCCTCTGCCTTGATTTGCTGTAGAATGTCTTTCAATCTTCCTTGGCCAGACAGATCATGTACAGAGCGGTAAGCCAATGAGTAGAGCAGCTTTATTGAACCTTTGTTTTCCTTTAGCATGCCTCATGCCATCTGTAAGCCTTGTGCTGTCTTGGCTAAAATTTCATGCAGCTACCTGAAAAGCTACTTTTCTCATTCTGCTTGTAAGAGTGTGTCATGCTGATGAATCTGTTTTTTTGTAGTAGTTGTTTTTTGTTTTTTGCTTGCATGTTTCTCTCTTTCATTCCTCAGATGAAAATCAAACTCATTCAAATCCAAGGACTTAATAAACACTACAGTTTTTATTCTGAGGTAGGGGAAAGTGAACCAAACAAAAGGATATATGTAGTTAAAAGTTAGCAGGGTATTAGATTTGGAGATGATTTACTCATTCCTTTCACCCTAACAGAAAACTATATAGCACTAAAAATGGAACTTTTTTTTGAACAAAAGTCCAACCATTGTCATTTCATTAATTTTTAGCCAGTCTTACATAAGAAATATCTTAGTAATTTATAGCATTATTGTTCATAAAAACCTAATTGTGTTATAGATTAGTAGTGAGAGACATTTTTTAGGATTGTTTATTTATACTTGCTTTCTGGTTCAAGCATTTATTATAAGCATGATCTTTGTTACTTTTTGTTTATGCTTTATATCAGGAGATAACCTATGATTTAATCTTATAGAATTTTATCATTTAGATGACACCCAAGCTTTTTTAGAAAAAGCTCTTACATTTTTCTTTGCCTTTTAATAGAAAGCTGAATTTCAAAGATCTTTGAACTATTTTTCATTTTTATCTCTTTCTGTGTTCATCAACTTTCCATTACTATAACAAAATACCTAAGATAATTGACTTAAAAAAGATAAAAAGTTTATTTTAGCTCACAGTTTGGAAGGTTTCCCATTGCTTTTAGGCCTGTAATAAGGCTGCGTGTCATGTTGGGAAGCACATAACAAAACAGAATTGTTTACCGCATGGTTTGGATGAAAGAGATAAAGAGGAAGGAGTGTGGCTCATGCATGTAATCCCAGTGAGGCTGAGACAGGAGGATCAAAAGTTCAGAGAGAGCTCAGCAATTTAGTGAGGCCCTACACAATTTAGCAAGACCCTGTCTCAAAATAAAAAAAATAAAAAAGGGCTGGGGATGTGGTTCGGTGTTTAAGTGACCCTGGGTTTAATCCCTCATACCAAAAAAAAAAGAGAAGTGAGGTCCCACATCCTTTTAAAGGGTATATCTTAAATGATCAAAGACTTCCTAGTCAGTCCCACCTCTTAAAAGTTTCCGCCACTTTACAATAGCACCGAGCTAGTTACTAAGCGTTGCCACATGAGCCTTTGGAAGGATATTCCAGATCCAAACTAAAGTACTTGAATGAACAGTTTAATAATTTATGAGATAATTTTACAATAGATATGTTTTAACATAAAATCAAATGATTTTATAACTTTTAATTCAATCAAACCTTGAGATTACATACTGTTTTCAACCTAATTTATAATTCCCAAACAGTATCTGTTACACTATAAACTATCACTAATTTTTTTCTTCCTCTAGAATTTTCTTCTTTCTGTTTTGGTAAAGACTTAGGCCAATTTCAACAAAATTAGGTTATAGTAAGATGTTTATTGATGATATGTATAAATTACTTAAATATAAATTTGATTTCTATCTTCTGGGAAAACTGAATTCTAAACTAAGTAAAGACATGTGACTTGATTCCCCCCCCCCCCACATTGGACTATCTCTTAAAAACAGAAGATGCTGAATGTCTTCATATATGGTAAAGAAGAAAAATGCTAGAGTCTTGCTTTATACTGGATAATCATAACTGAACCATATCCTGCAAATAATTCAATGTTTTCTTTCCAAGAAACATGTAGCATATTTTGTTGAAATATTTTAACTTTACCTTTTGGTTTATTTGGGTTTACCTGAAAAGAAGTAATCAGGTGTTGATTTTTATTTTAAAAAGAGAGGTCACTCTTCTGTAAACAATTTTGAGTGTATATGTTCTTTATACTTCTGCCATTTGAAAAAGAAAGGAAGATTAATTTTTGTGATTTATATTTATGCAATAGAAGTAGAATCTTAGTTTCAATTGAAATAATATAACAGTAATAAAAAATGGGAAGAAAAACTCTTGGATATGTGGGAGAAGTTTTGAGTCAGGCATGGTAGCACATGCCTATAATTCCAGAAACTTGGGAGACTGAGGCAGGAGAATGGCAAGTTCAAGGACAGTCTCAGCAACTTAGACCCTGTCTTAAAATAAAAAAGGTTAGGGATATACCTCAATGGTAAAATAGTAAAAGGCCCCTGAGTTTAATCCCCAGTACAAAAACAACAACAACAAAAAAGTGTCTTGAGCATTACTTTTGGAGTTTGATTATTTCATACCATAACCTGTTTTGACTAATAAACGTGTATATAGTACTTGCTAATACCAGCCATTATTCTAAGGGCTTTACAACAGAATTAGCTGATTTAATTGCCCCAACAACCCTGAAGGGTAGATATCATTATTACCATTTTACAGATGAGGAAGCAGAAGTACAAAGAAGTTATAGTTTCCTAAAGCCAAACAAGTCTAAACATTGGTTTTAAAATTAAAATTCAAATTGTTTAAAATTTAATTTTTGCAGATTTAAGAGCATTCAGTCTATCAAGTCCTTATCCCCCTTTTGTCAGCATAATTTCTTTATCTTCTTTCAGTTTCCTTAACATAGCTATCCTAAAGCTCTGGGTGGTACATGGGAGGCAAAGAATATTTACGTTTTGCTCAAATATTCAAATGATGTTTGGTGAAAATTTTGACAACTTCTTAAGTGATGATTTCCTGTTTTAAAATTTTTTCAATACAGGCATGTCAGCAGCAGTGACAGAGTGGGCAAGCCTTACCGTGGTGTAAAGCCTGTTTTCAGCATTGGGGATGAAGAAGAATACGACACAGGTATAGTAATACACTTTTCTACAGACTACTTTCCTCAGTCACCAGGAGTCACTAACGGGGTCATCCTGGGACTAATGACATTTGCTTTATAAAACAGTGACATTCTGTGGAGTTGGAGAGTCTATGGATTTCTGTTGAGAGTTTGGTTTAAGATAAATGTTCCTATGAGAAATCCAAGCAGAAATGTTGAAGTAGGCTTTTGACTGTAGAAATCTTCAGCTGAGGAGAGTTCTGATGACCTTGTGGAGTTATCAGTATAGGTGCTATGTTTGCATGTAAATCCCTTTGATCACCCACTAGAAGACTGAAGAGTTGTGGGACTAGATTTTTTTTGCCTTTTGAAATTGAAAGATAATATCCTAAAGTGCCACAAGATGGGGATATTGTACAGGGAAAGTTATTTTCTTTGTAAGCATCTTTATATTTTTAAAAATAATTTATTACTTTGGTTTATGATTCTATGACCCAGATTATCCAGATTAATTAATAATAATTAATTTGTGTATTGAGTTAGGAAAAATACCAGCATATAAATGTATAAAATGAAAAAAAACTTATATCTCATCTTGCCTTTTCTACTTTGTAGTATATGTTGCATATTTCCATTTCAGCCTCTGTATATCTTCTCATTCTCTATCATATATCATAATTTATTTAAACAGTCTTCTGATTTACACTGGTGATTTTCTTTCTTTCTTTTTTTTTTTTTTCTATTTCAAATGGCCACAGATATTTTTATACATAAATCTAGATGACCTTTTGAAAGTATAATTGTAAATTTTTAGTAGTAAGATTACTAGATTAAAACTTACCACATATGACCTTTTAATAGCTATTAATAAAATCACCCTCTGGAAAACTTGCATTGGGAAAAATATACTATTTCTAATTATTTCATTTTTTTTCTCCCCCCACCCCCACCCCCCGTTTTCTGTTGGCATCTCCTGTTATCTCTGTCTGAATAGTCTGCTTCTTCCTGAATATGTAAACTTCTCCATTAACAAAATGGAGAGATAAATGGATGAATAAATTGTGGTATATTTACATTTATCACATATAACTCACATATATTTATACTATGAGAAATTGGATAGTAACTAAAATGAGAAAACAAGAGCCATCTATATTAATATGCATAAAATCAATCATGTTGGGAATAGGGTAGTAGTTGTAGAAGAATACACTTAAGTGGTCTACTTTTTATAAATGTTTTATTTAAACTGCAAAACACTGTTGTATGTTAACAACAAGACATGTATGGGACTAATAACACCAAATAGAGATCATCAGTACTTGGTGGGAAAGTGAGAGAGAGATGATTAGGAAGAGATGCATGAGGGTTTCACTGTCATTTAAGCTCTGGTGTATGGATTTCCTTTATCATTATACTCTATATTTTAAACTACTTATTAAAAAGCAAAGGGAAGGGCTGGGGATATAGCTCAGTTGGTAGAGTGCTTGCCTTGCATGCACAAGTTCCTTTGTAGATCCCCAGCACCAAAAAAAAAAAAAAAAAAAGAAAGAAAAAGAAAAAAAGAAAGAACATTTATAATTATTAACACTAGGGATGTAATTTTTAAATAAGAAAAACAAAATCAGAATATTTTACATTTCTTTCATGGAAAAGGAAAGAGATTTTTTTTTGATTTATACAGGGATTGATTTTTATTGTTATTTTCTATCATAAAATCAGAAAAACAAAAGAACTCTGCCATCTTTACCTTCCTGATAGTTAACTTTTTATTAGACAGTTCAGCCATTGTTCTACAGACAATGCAGATCATAGTTACTTTATCTGTGTAAAAAAATATTAAAACTTGTGTTCTTAGTATTTTCATTTGACTTTCTTACCTTGTAAATTGATGTTTCATAACTATATTTCTGTATTAGTATCAGTGGCAAAAGGAAATAGAGTAGCAGGATTAGAATTTTTTTCTCCCCTTCAAACCTTTGAATTGCAAATAGTACAAAAATATCTTTCAGGTTGTTAAGAGATGTACCATTTTTAAAGTTGGTAATATCCACTTTTAACATTTTTAATTCTTTATAGATGAAATTGACAGTTCTTCAATGTCAGATGACGATAGAAAAGAAATTGTAAACATTCAGACTTGGATAAACAAGCCAGACATCAAGCATCATTTTCCTTGTAAAGAAGTGAAAGAAAGTGGACACATGTTCCCTAGGTACTTTTAAAAATGTCTTCTTCAGAAGTAAAATTGATTGGGGAAGTTAATATAAAATTGAACTGCAGAAGAACTTTTATTTATCCAAGTACAAAAGATACAATTTTCTTCTGTGAACTTGTATTATGTATCTTGATTTTTGAGGTATTTATGTAATATTTATTTTGAATTTTCTAAACAAAAAATGTTAAAAAGTATATTGAATGCCTTTATAATATTTTTCTAGATGTACTAACTGTTAACATTTTTTCACACTACCCCCATGTTTGTATGCATCTAACACACACAGACAGACCTATACTTCTTTTTGTCAGACCATTCAAAAGAAGCCCATAGATGTGGTAATGTCATCCCTAAATGCTTTAGTGTAAATATCCTAAAAATAAGAGCATTCTTCTACACAATTTGAAGCGTTTATTTCACTTAAATTTTTTAAAAAATTAGTATCACCCAACACATAGATCATACTCAGAATTTTCAGTGTCCTAGAGTATCTTTTTTTTTTTTTTTTTGAGGGAGGGAGGGAGAAGTACTAGGGTTTGAAGCCAGGAACACACAACCACTGAGTGACATCCTAATCCCTTTTTAATGTTTTTTTATTTTGAGACAGAATGTCACTAAATTGCTAAGGCTGGCTGCAAACTTTCAGTCCTGGCTCAGCCTCCCAAGTTACTTGGATTACAGGCCTGAGCCACATGGACGTGCCAGAGTATCTTTTTTAGAGTTTTTTTTTTGTTGTTGTTGTTTTTTTTTTTTTTTCTCTGTATCCGGGATTCAGTTGTAGTTCATAATTGGATTTGTCTGTTACATCTCTTATATCTCAATATAAACAGTTCTTTCCCTTTGCCTTTCACTTCCCCTTACTCTTCACAGTGAATGAATCCTTTGAGTCCAGAGAGTTGTCCTGTAAAATACTCCATATTCTGGACTGTCTGATATTTGTCTTACTGTTTTAAATAAAAATGTAAGAGTATTATCATTATTAAAAGTGAAAAGGGGTTAATTCTATGCTCATGTGTAAGAGGCCAAACATCTACTACATATTATGCCCTCTCAGCAACTGGCTGCTTTCTCTTCACCATTCTCTCAACCAGTAAGTCCTGCTTGACCCACAGAGAACCCCAAACACCTGCACAGTGACATTCCAGCCACCACCAGCCAGAACTTTAAACTAGCCTTACCAGTGGTCACAAGCAGTATGTTGGGCCCCCTTGGTAATTAGTGATTATAAACCATTTTCTGGGAAGAGGGGGAAAAGCACTGCACCAATCTGGGCCTGTGCAAATGACACGATAAAGGAGTTTCAGATCTGTGGAGTCCATGAATCCATGGGATATTCACAGTTGCTTAAACATTTCAGGGCTGGTTTCTCTGTTCATATCTGTATCTGGTGCTTAGGAACAGGGACCCATGATGCCCAAGGGCAAAAAGTCCTACTTTCTTTTTTTATTTGTTTGTTTGTTTGTTTATAGTACCTGGGACTAAACCCAGGGGAACTTGCCCACTGAGCCATATCCCTGCCCTCTTTTACTTTATTTATTTATTTAGAGACAGGATCTTGCAGAGTTGCTTTTGCCCTATTTTCTTTAAGGAAGGAAGCAGACTTGACCCCGATGCTCAAAAAGGAGCAACCCTAGACTTTTTCTTGTTTTCATTCCCCTTTTTTTCTGCTGGCCTTGTACTGGGTTTGTTTACAAAAGATGTATTTTGTTTAACCATATATTAAAAAATGGTAAGCTCTGGAAAAAATATTTTGTGCTCATTTTGCTTTCAGGATCTAGTTATAGAATATAACTGTATTCTATAAAATATATAACTGATGTGTTGACTGAATAATTTTGAATATAGATAATCCCTTTAAAAGTCAGAAGGGCAGTATATTCCACTTCAATCAAAACTTATTATTTTAATGATTTATACATTGATTTGAGCTTTAAAATGTACGTTTTCTTTTTAAATAATTGTACAATTATGTTATAAAACATTATTTTTACGTAAAATTAAAGGAAAATGATAAGCTGTTATGTAGCTTATTTGTTTATAGATTATCTTGTTTATATTTTTCAGCTCAAAAGTAATTTCACAGGCTGGGGTTTTAACTCAGTGGTTGAGTGCTTGTCTCGCGTATGAGAGGCTCTGGGTTTGATTCTCAGTACCATATAAAAAATAAATAAATAAGTAAACAAAGACATTTTTAAAAAAGTCTTATGTTTAAAAAAAGTAATTTAATTTAAAGTTGAACATTTTTTATAATGGGAGTGTTTATGCAATAACCTATCTTGAATTATGTATTTAAAGTTCTTTATTCTTTTAATGTTCTTTTTTTTCTCTCAAGTCATCTGTTGGTTACGGCAACACATATGTACTGTTTAAGGGAGATTCTTTCAAGGAAAGGATTGGCTTATATTCAGTCTCGACAAGCACTTAATTCTGTAGTTAAAATCACATCCAAAAAAAAACATCCTGAGTTAATTACCTTCAAATATGGAAACAGCAGTGCTTCAGGAATAGAAATCTTGGCTATTGAAAGGTAAGATTTTGAAGATGATATTCTCTGAATTATTGCAAGTCATTGTTAAGAACACTTTGTTTCTCTGCTGAGATGGTGGAATAGTATACTTTTTTTTTTTTTAAAGAGGTGGAGTACATGGGGGGTGGGAGTGGGAGAAGGAGAAAGAAAGAAGAACTAGAAAATGAAGTTGGCCAAATTATGCCATGTGCATGTATAAATATATCATAGTGCACTCCAATTTTATGTATAATGACACTATCAGTTTAAAAAATAAATAAAAGGAAAACCAATAGTGTAGATAAAGGGAATCAGGGAACGGAGAAGTAGAGGGAAAGAGGATATATTGGAGATTGAAATGGAGAAAACTGTTATATGCATTTATGAATATGTTAGAATGAAGCCCACTATTATGTAAAACTAATAATGCACTAATGAAGACATCAATAAAAAAAGAAAATTGTAAACATGTGAGTAAAACCAAAATATTATTGCTAGATTGTAAGATCCAAGGTATTAGGAACCAGGGCTTTTATACTCTCAATCACAAGTTGTCAATAAACCTGTCTGGTAAATAACTCAATTTTGACAGACAAAATTCAAGAAACCTTAGGTCCACTTTGCTTTGTTGGGGATCATTTTTTTAATATAATTTATTTTTTATTTTTATTAGTTACTAATGGGCCTTTATTTGTTTATATGTGGTGCTAAAAATCGAACCCAGTGCCTCACACATGCCAGGCAAGTGCTCTACCACTGAGCCACAACCCCAGCTCTTATTTTTTTTATTTATTCTGATCATAATGACAGAATGCAGTTCATTTTATATTACACATATAGAACACAATTTTTCAAGACACTAATTGTAGGGGGTCATTTTTATAAGTATTCTTTACTATCTTTTTCTCCCCAATTCTTAGTCATGTAGTTTAACTATTAATATGTGATTCTAGTAAGTGCAATGGCTAATAAACTTTTGACAAAAAGATGCTTAATAATTATCCATACCAGTGCAACACTAAATGTCAATTAGCAATGAAATTAGAAAATTGTCTACATTCTAAGGCAATGTTTTATTTTCCTTCATTAAAAACTGTTGTTTTGACAAACTGTCAGTAAGCTGGGCTGTGTACTGAGGGATGTAGTACAGATTGAGCATCCCTAATCCAAAAATTCAAAATGCTCCAAAACCCAAAACATTTCGAGTGCTGACATGATGCCACAAGTGGAAAATTGCACATCAGGAAACTTGGTTTCATGAATTAAATTATTAAAATTTTTGCATGAAGTTACCTTCAGTATTTAAGGTTTATATGAAATGAATTTTGTGCTTAGAATTGGATCCCACCCCCAAAATATCTCATTATGTATATGTGAATATTATACAATTGAAAAAAATCTGAAATCCAAAACATTTCAGGTTCATGCATTTTGGATTTAGGGATAATCAATCTGTAGTTAATTATAGTATAGTACAAGCTCCTCCTTATCTCATTGTGGATCAGTAATAAACAGCTCACAGACACAAGAACTACAGACCACTCCTAGTTTGATACTAAATTATCTTTAATCTGTAGAAAAATATGAAGCTCAGAGGGTTGAATGATTTCCCAGATCTTGACTTGTGATAGAACCAAATATAGTACTCAATTAATTACCAATTAATCTTCTCAGAACAAATCTGTACATGTAGATTCAGTGAGTCAAAGAGTATACACAGATTAATATCTACTTATGTATATTAATCCCAACCAAAGGATATTGAATTGACTTATGTATAGGAGTATTTAAATATTGTTTTAAAGATTTTACATTATTTAATTTTATATAACCCTCTGAATTATATATAACTGGGATAACTGTCCCTATTATAAATGTAAATCTATTTTAGGGAACTTAAATTCTTGCACAAGCTCAAATTATTAAGTGTTAGACTTGTTGAGTTTGGAATTAGATACCATCAAATTATGACTTTGTGGTTGACTGAATTATATCTCTGCTGGGCTGCAGAATGTTTGGTTACCTTGTATTCGATTATCTAGATATTATTTATATTTAATAATAGTTCAGAGAATTTTAGCTTTATACTATATGAAAAATCACATGGCTTTTATATTTAAATTTCCTTTCAAAATAAACTGTTGGGCTGGGGATGTGGCTCAAGCGGTAGTGCGCTTGCCTGGCATGTGTGCGGCCCAGGTTCGATCCTCAGCACCACATACAAAGATGTTGTGTCCGCCAATAACTACAAAAAATAAATATTAAAAAATTCTCTCTCTCTCTCTCTCTCTCTTTAAAAAAAAAAACACAAAATAAACTGTTGATATCTGTTAATATATATTATGGGGATTACACAGGAGGGCATCTCGGCTGGCTTTGTGGGTTAGGGAAAGCTTCCCATCAGGGGAAATCTCAACTGAAGGTAAAGCATTGTATTTATATCTGTATGTATCTATATATATATATATATCTATTTTTCCCCACAGGTATTTGATTCCAAATGCAGGGGATGCTACCAGAGCCATAAAACAACAGATCATGAAAGTTTTGGATGCTTTGGAAAGTTAATATATTAAGAAAATTATTTAAATGAAATTAAGGCAACCAAGAGAAACATGAACATATATTTCCTGACTGAATACTAACCAGAGACCTTTCATTTACTCATGGGGGTGCTTGACTAGCAGGTCTAAGTGTAAATTATTATTATCGATTTCTGGATGGTTAAATTTTTAAAAATTTTCTTTTGTGTTTTCGGTTTTATAAAATGATTTATTATAAAGGCCAGTTATTAAATGACTTTGAAGTAACTGCCATTGTGCCCCTATGGACCAAGGGTACAGAATGCAGTTCTGTTTTGAAGAGCTGTTTTAAGGGAACATATATCACTTTCAGGTTTTCAAACAACCATAAACTTATATATTTGCAATGTCTTCACTGAAAATTAGAGATAAAATTAGTTAAAGAGACTTCCTTAACTGTTAAACTTAATTTTACCCACTGAGCAATATCAAAAACTAAAAACAGGTTAATAATTAGTTCACTGTTTCTGTTCTTAAGAAGAATAAAATCTTTTTAATTAATTGAATGAAGATTCCAGCCAATTCAAAATATAGTCCAGCTAATGAGCTAAGTCATCTTTGCTCCATTATGTAATTATTTGGACACTGAAATACCAAAGTATGCCAAGCATTTCTGAGTTCTTCAGAAATACCATACTTCATTTTGATGATTTCTGAAAAGCAATTTAAAACATTATAAGTAGGTAGCATGTTAAGATCAAAATTATCATTTGGGGGACAGAATTGTATCTGTAAAAACATCATTGATCTTTATTACAAGTGGATAATTTTTAGGATATTTCAAAACTAGTGTTGAGCACAGATTGATTTAGTCTCCTTGAGATGATGACCATCTGTGACCACACTCAATATCCACTTAAATAAAAGCCAAATAATCAGAGAGATGTATAATTTTCAATCACATAATTTATATCACTTTCTGAAATTCCTTTTTCTTCATTTGGCTTTGTCTTCTCATTAAAGTTCCAGGGGTTTGAAACTTATTATTCTGTTAATAAAACTGAAGTGATATGCTTTATTTTACAGCTTTATCAGCTTAATTTACTGTGGCCCATATTAATTACATGTAGTAAGAGATCCAGAAACATCTTTGGGGCCATGGGATGATTTTTGTAAAACCCATTTGGGAAATAGCAAATATAATCTGCCATGTCCTAAAATGTAAGATTATCTCTAAGGGATTGATAGAAGTATCTAGAATGTACCCTGTTAATAACCAGTTATTTTAATGGAAATCAAGTGAATAGAAGACAACATAATTCAAGAAATTTTATTCTGATATCTAAATAAAAACAGTTTGAGTGATTGAAGACATTTGCATGAAATTGCACCTGGTGCAATACTTGATATTTATAATCTCCCCAAAAACTGTTGTATTGCACTTTTTCCCTTTTCTTGGCACCCCCCTAGAGATGTCCTGAAGTCTGATTCTTTTGCCCATTTCAGTCATGGGACTTTTTTCACAATATAAATGTAAAGATGTTTGTGTTACTGTTTATAAATTACAATTGTAAATAAACTGGTACAATTTGCTGAAAACTTTGTTCTTTAAGGCAATGTCTCTCTTTTCTTTTTTCCCCTAATTGTAAATCTGTACCTGCCACAAAATTAGGAGTTTGAAGACTTTTCTTTCTTTTTTTTTAGAGTTTAAATGTTCAGATTTCATATTTAACTGGGGATGTACCTCAGTGGTAGAGCACTTCTGAGCATATGTGAGGCCCTGGGTTCAATCCCCATTATTATAAACAAAACAAACAGATTTCACATTTATATTAAGCTCCTATTTCTATTGATTTAGATGAGAGAAAAGAGTAGTTTTATTTAAAACTAAAAAACAAATGGCATTAGCTAGGCACTGTGGTTCACACCCATATTTCAGCTACTTGGGAGGCTGAGATAGGAAGATGCTTAAGTCTAGGAGTGAGGGGCACATAGGGAGAATACTATCTCTTAAAAACAAACAAAAAACCCCTAATAATATTAAATTCCACATGTGGTAAATTACTGCCTTAAACTATTTAACCTCTATGAACTTCATTTTACTCATCTGAAATAACACCACAGTTAGATTAGTTACACTCATTAGATTGCATGGATTGCAACATTATGAGGTTTGGTGCTACTTTATCTACTTTCAGGATGAGAAAAATTAGATTCAAAGAAATTAAGTAAAAAAGGAAAGCATTCCCTCTTTTTTTCCCATTCCCTGAGAATTATTGCTTATTGAAGTATAATATTATCTTTGCCGGTTGAGCATGGTGGCACATCATGTCTTTCTCCCAGGTTCTTGGAAAGCCGAAACACAGGGATCACAGGTTTGAGGCCAGGGTAGGCAATTTAGTGAGACCCTGTCTCAAAAGGGGCTGGGGATATAACTCAGTGGTAGAGTGCTTACCTGGAATGCCCAAGGTCCTAGGCTCAATCTCCAGTACCACAAAACAAATAAGTAAAATATTAAATTGACAGTGGGGAAAACTCAATGCTATAGGTTGAATAAGTAATGAAAGTAATATCTCAATATTACTATTAACACTTTGAACTTAAAAAAGAATAAAAACATCATCTTGGAGCTAGGTGTGGTGGTGCATACCTGTAATCCAGACTGAGGAAACTGAGGCAAGAGGATCTCAAGTAAGTTTGAGGATAGCCTGGGCAACTTAGACTTTTGTCTCAAAAATAAAAAGGGTTGGGGATATAGCTCCATGGTAGAGTGCTTGCCTAGCATGTGGGAGACCTTGAGTTCAATCCCTGATATTGCAACAAAAAAAATTTTTTAAGATATAATTCACATAACATAAATCTTATCATTTAAAAATCTACAGTTAAACTTTTTTTTTTTTTAATATTCCCACAGAGTTGTGCAGGCATCACCAACTCCAGAACATTCCATGCCCTCCGAAAGAAAAAAAACTATTAGCAGTCACTCTACCACTGAGCCACAACCCCAGCCCACTAGTGCACTTTTGATTTTGATTTGCCTAATCTGGACATTTCATTAATAAAGCAGTTGTACAATATGTGAGTTTTGTGTCTGGCTTTTTTTCATCTAGCATATGATTTTCAAGCTTCATCCATGTTCTGGCATGTATCCAAGTTGCATTCTTTTTTTGTGGCTGAATAATATTTTTATGGTATGGCTATATCACATTTTATCTATTCATCAGCTGGTAGATATTTGGGTTGTTTCTTTGTTTTGGCTATTATAAATAATACTTTGTAAACATGAACATATAAATTTTTGTGTTGATATGTTTTTAGTTCTTTTAAATATCTACCTAAGAGTAGAATTACTGGGTCATGTTAATTGTACATTTGACTTTTTGAGGAACTTCCAAATTATTTTCCAAAGGGGCTTTACCATTTTACATTCCCTCTATAAAAGGCTTGAGCCTTCTAGTTTCTTCACCAACACTTGTATTAAATCTTTCTTTTCTTATAGATATCCTACTGGGTGTGAAGTGAATCTCAGTGTGGTTTTGATTTGTGTTTCCCTAATGACTACTAAGGAGCTCTCTTTCATGTGCTTATTGGCCATTTATGTATCTTTTGGAGAATTGTAATTCTTTTGCCTATTTTGAAACTGGCTTTTTATTGTTGAGTTGTAGGAATTTTTTAAATATTCTAGATAACGAGTCTCAATAGATACATTATTCACTAATATTTTCTTCCATTCTCTGAGTTGTCTTTTCAGTTCTTTTTGAATTTTTTTTTGTGATGACTGGGGATTGGATCCAGGGCCTTGAGCATGTTAGGCAAACACTTCATCACTAAGCTATATCCTCAGCTTATTTTATTTTGAGAAGGCTCAATTGCTCAGCTAAATTGCTCAGGCTGACCTTGAACTTGACATCCTTCTGCTTCAGCCTCCTGAATAGCTGGGATTATAGGTATGTGCCGACATGCTTGGCTCCTTTAACTATCCTGATGGTATGATTTGAACCACAAAAAGTAAAATTTTAATGATAAGCCTATTTTTCGTCACTTGGCCTTTTTTGGTATATCTGTGGAACCATTTCTTTAATTTTTACAATTGTCACCCATTTTGAATTATTTTTATGTGATATAAAGGTCTAATTCATTTTTTATATACAAATAACTCAGTTGTCTTAGTACTACCTGTTAGAGGATAATTTTTCCCCACATTAAGTGATTTTCTTGCCTTGTTGGAAATAATTTGACCTCATCAATTTATTTTTATGCTTTCAAATTGCATTGGTCTGTATGTCTGTCCTTACTGCTAGGACTAACATTCTTTTTTTTTGCGGGGGTGGGTACCAGGAATTGAACTCGGGGGCACTTGACTCCTGAGCCACATCCCCAGCCCTATTTTGTATTTTATTTAGAGACAGGGTCTCCCTGAGTTGCTTAGTGCCTCAGCTTCTGGAACTGCTGGGATTACAGGATTACCACTGTGCTGACAGGAGTAACATTCTTGATTAGCTTTGAATTAACTTTTTGAAATGGAGAAGTGTAAGTTCTCCAACTTTGATTTTGTTTTCAAGATTATTTTCTGAATGCCTATTGTTCTTAGTCCCTTACATCTCCATATTTGTATGAAAGATCAGCCTTTAGGTTTCTGCAACAAAAACAGTTGGGAGCTGGATACAGCAAACCTGTAATTTACCTGAGAGTGAAACATGAATATCAAAAGTTTAAGGCCAGGCTGAGCAACTAAGCAGAGATCCTGTCTCAATAAAAGGGCGGTTGTTCTGGGAATAGGTCAATAGTAGAGTATTTATCTAGCAAGGAAAAAAAAAGTTTGGAGAGTATTGCCATCTCGGCAATACATGAATATTCCAATCCATGAATATGAAATGTCTTTCCATTTTTTAAGTCTTTCAGTGATATTTTGCAGTTTTTTTTCATTTTGCAGAAATCCTTCTTTTAATATTTTAAAGTAAAACGTGGGCATGTTAAAGTAATAACAGATTTATACTTTGTATCCTTCCTCTACCATTTGGCTCTATGCCTCTTTGAAGAATTAGAAGACCCTACAAAACCACAAATTTCATGCTGAAAATAACAGTGTAACAAAGTCCAAAACAAGCTGTGATGTTATTGGTTTTCAAAAAGCTTCAAGGACTAAGATGAGCGATCCACTGCAATATTATAGGCTGGTCAAGCTGATGTTGCTTTACAGCTCATCCATTGCATGTGTGGAAGAAGTAAGAGCAGAAGAGAAAATCACTTCCACCTGGACCACCGCTTCTCTTTATCTGTTAAAGGCACATATATCACTCCCATAAGAGGTTTCATTTTGACACTGCGATCTTGTAGCTTGTCGTACTACTCCAACATTTGATTTCCACTTGCAGGACCAACTGGCAATATCAATCTTCCACCAGGCTTTAACTGGTCTATTAGTGCCTGTGGCACAACTGGGGCTGCAGCTCCAACATGAATTGCATCGTAAGGGGCTTCTGCAGCATATCCCATCCCATTCTATCTCCCACAACCAGTTGTAGTCTCCCTGAAGTCAAAAGTGTTGGATCATCCTTTCTGACATTATTTATTGATTCATATACTAGCTCTTTAATGTGATCAATTCTTATGACTTTTCCATTACATTCAATCATACGTGCATGTTTTGCAGTTTTTATATTTTTCTAAAGTCTTTCACATCTTTTCTTACATTTATTGCTAAATATTATATTATCTATGCTATTATAAATGGAAATGTTTCCTTAATTTCATTTTTTAAGTTTTTCATTGCTAGTGTATAGAAATATAATTGATTTTTGCACATAAACCTTAACATCCTCTAACCTTGCTGACCTTTTTATTCCAACAGGACAGGATTTTTTTTTTTGTGTGTGTGTGTGTGTGTGTGGCATCCACTAGGATTTTCTACATTCAAGACCCTAGCATCTGTGAATGGCAATAGTTTGTTACTTCTTCCTTTACAATCAGGATGCCTTATATTTTCTTACCTAATGGGTCTGGCTAAAGCTTCCAGTATAAGGTTAAATAGAGGGGGTGAGAGCAGACATCCTTGTCTCTTTTTCCCCAGCCTTAAAGGGAAAACATCTAGAATTTCATCTTTAAGTATAATGCTAGTTTTAAGGGTTTTTTTTTTTTTTTTTTTTTGTAGATAGGTTTTATCAGATTTAAGAAGTTCTGCTTCTGTTCCTAGTTTGTCGAATGTATTAGCTTTGGCCACCATAACAAAATACCCTTCTTTAAACAAAAGAAATAGTCATTTTCTCATAGTTCTGGAGCTTTAAATCTGAGATACGGGTCCAGCATGCTTGGGTTCTGTGAGAGGTTTCTTCTTGGCTTGTGGCTAGCTGCCTTTTCACTACATCCTCACATGGGCTTTCCTCTGTGGTATTGTGGATAGTGCGCTCTGTCTTATCGTGAAAGCCCCTCTTTTCTGACCTCATCTAAACCTAATTATCTCCCAAAGGCCCTGTCTTCCAATACCATTATATTAAAAGTGAAGGCTTCAACATATGAATTTGAGGGGGTTGGGAACACAGACATTTAGTACATAATAATGTTTCTACCATGAAAGGGTACTGATTTTGTTTAAAAATAAT